CGTTACCTGTATCCATGCTGGAACAAATATCAACACGTAGTCGACGGAATTCGACTGTTTCTACCTTATGTGATCAAACACAGTCGCAGCAAGCACAAACGGCGGTCTTCCCAGACACGATATCATCGACAGTATCATATAATTTATTCACTACCATGGATATTCAACGAAGCTTTTCATTTCCAACTATTGATCAACATCAATATTCAAATGTAGACGACGAACAGAATCAATTCATTTCGGAAGAAAACGAAGGCGATATTACGACAGTTCTTACCTGTGCCAGAATCTGAAGATTCTGAAATCGATAAAAATCAGAAAAACCACCTCTATCAGAAAATACATCTATATCAAATAAACGTTCGTCGACTGGAGAAGAAAGGCAATTCTCGTCAAATGTTTCTTTTCACGCGTCTGTTTCATTCGATCCTCGCCGTAAATCATTGCATGTTCAACGACGTCGAAATAATTCTTGGAATACAAATAAAAACAAACCTGTGTCTTATCAACGTTCGGTATCACATAAACCAGCGTTAGTGCATCCTCGGGTTAATCAAAAACAGTACTTTAGTTCGTCGTCAATGCCGTCTGGAATTCAATCATTTCTAAGTCATAGAACAAGTCAATCGTCATGCTATTCTGATAATGTTTTTCTCTCCACATCAGCGATCAGTTCATCTTTGTCCCTGCATCATGCGAATGTGGCGAGGCACATGCCAGTAGATTCACAGTTTTTAGCCATACCATCATCTACATCGATGATTTCATCGGATCAACAAACGTCGAATGTGTCCGACGCGTCTGGCCAAAGTGGTATTGAATCATCAAATTTACGAACGAGTATATCTGAACTACCCCATACAGCAAGCATCAACGAGGAAGAAGAGGAAGAGCAACAACAGCAAGGAACTAGAACAAAAACCGAAAAGAACTTATTGCATTTACAGCTGAAGCGTTCCACTTCGGGCTCGTCGAGATCAACGCAAACTGCGAGTACAGAAAGTTTACCGACATCGTCGAGTGAAGATAGAGTCAACGATATGTACAAAAAACTTGATGTTTTGAATAAAGTGGGAAAAAACCACGAACACCATACGATCAAAGATTACATGTCCTGCGTCAATTAGCATGGTTATTGGAGAAACGACCACCCATTCATCCACGATTGAATCCAACACGTCGAAAACCAGCTCAAGCGCTAGTATCCGTATGTTATTTAGAAAATCGGTCATGTAAATTTCCTTTTCTTTTCTTTTTCGTTAGGCTCGTTCGTCTATGTGATCAACTAATACAACAACCGTCACTCCGCATGCAGAATCAGAGCTGACAATCACTTCGAAAGTTTCGCCTCAATTGTTCTCAAGTTCGAATGAAAACTCAAATCAAGTACATTCATTACCTATCAACTCACATCGTCCTCATTCACCTTCATCTTCACAGGCGTTAACATCTTGTGTTGATCCTCTAACTCAAAGTTATTCTTCTATACGTAGTATTCATTCAGATTCTAGTCTCAATCCATCTTTAATCAATACCAAAGCACCATCTTCAAATCCAAATCCGGGCACAACGTCACTTAATTCTTCTCTTCACTTGCAACGCAATACACCTTCGTCGAACACTAATCAATCTCAGCGAAGACGAACCGGTCAGCATCGCCGAAATCTTAGTGGCCGCGCTGCCGTTCATCGAGATCGTAAGAATTCCTTTTCAAAGTCGAATACAAATAAACTTGATGAGCAGTCAACAACTTCACAAACCACTCAACAACAAGCAGGTCCTTTAGTTCGTGACATCAAAGCCATTCTTGAAGAACATTTAGCAATGATTAATGATTTAATTACGTTGGTGAAATAAGATTGTTTTTTTTTAAGCAAGTATTATCTTTATCGTATAATTGGATATTTTGTCATGGATTCACAATTGGAAATGGATATGGAACATTTGATTTACCTGATTTACGAGGTCGTATTGTTATACGACGAAATCCATGTGGAAATGAAACAGATTATGCTTCAAAAGTGACTATTTGAGGTGTAGTCAAGAAAAACATATTCCAACAATAGATGACAGTTCATCGTTTTCACATCGTTCGTATTAAACATTAGATTATATTATTTTTAATGGACAGCAAAATATTAATACCCGACAATTCACGAAACAAATCTGTTGTTGTTCGTCTAAAAGCACTTTATGAATTTCATCGTTCTTATTCAATTCTTCACACCGCTTTGTCAAGTGAGGTATGGTACAACATGTTTTCAGAACTTTATGACGCGCCTTGTCAATCGCAATAATGAATAGGCATCAAATAGACAGTACAATCCGAAAAGTAGCACATGTGAATATCAGGATAATGAAGCGTATAAACCATGGGTAAGTATTTCGAGTGGACCAAAGGTAGAATAAATAGATATTCATGGTGAACTTGGGAATTTCTCGTCGTGCATTCTCAAATTTTTCATCTGATGAAACAAATGTCGGAAAATGTCATAGGTACCTCTTGTGGATGAAACTTATTATGTAAAGAGAATGTAAATGCTCTCGTAATGTTAACAGCAGGAGATCACTCGAACATAGAATTTTGCTTTAGAATAGTCTCAAAGTTTGTTTCATGCAACTATAATCAGAATTCCCTCGTTAACTATCCAACAAACGTTCGCCTGCTCGCTCTCATCCTCAATCATCGGTATTTGTGATCCGTGCAACAAGCTGGATAGTTCGAACTGGTTCCAACGGATGCAGCTGGAAAAAAATCATCAAAACGCTGTTGGAGGGTACAGAGAACACCTATCAATAGTACATTTGCTGGCCATGTCACTGTTATTATCCCCTCTATGATTATTTCTTAAAAACATCTTGGGAAGGAAAAAGTGGTTTTGTCAGCAGGAGTCGTTTTTGTATTGATTGTAAATAGATGCAGAGAGTTCGAAATGAAAAGATTAATCACTTTTTCGTTCTGTTACTGATTCTCAATATTGAATGAACTTCGTACATTATCGTTTTTGATTATAACTACAGAGGTATTCTTCTCAGTTTTACTTTACCGGATGGAGACAATTAATAACAAAATACAATGTTGCATTTGTAATAAACACAAAATCACGTACCCTTGTCAAGGCTGTGCAAATCAATTCTGTTATGAGGATTTAGCCCAACATCGACAGAAATTAAACGAAGATTTCGATGAGATCATTCGTGATTACGACCAATTCCGAGAGAACATCCATCAACAAAAACAAATCCCTCAAGTGTCTCATTTGTTTTACCAAATCGATCAATGGGAAAGAAATTCGATTGAAATTATTCAAAAAACAGCAGAGCAATGTCGGCAAGCATTAGTCGAGAAGATCAAAGTGTTTATTATCGATATCGAAGAAGAGGTCAACAACTTGATCGACGAAATCAAACAATTTCAGCGCGAAAATGAAGCCAATGAAACCAATCTGGAACATTTAAAAGATCAATTACGTAAAATTGCAAATGAGTTTAATAATCCCTCAACGATCTCCCTCGACGAAAGTTCACAAATAGTTATTTGGAAAATTTCAATTCAATCGATAAAAAGTAGGCGTAGAACGAAAATGAAAGCGATTTTATTTGTTCTTTTTCTCAGAATTTAATCTCAATATCTGGAATCAGAATGCTGTGACAATAGCAGGAGGCAGTGGATTCGGCGAGAAGCTGAACCAACTGTCAGCTCCGTTTGGAATTCGTATTGACAAAATGAAAAACGTCTTCATCGCGGATTGGGAGAACGATCGCGTCATGAAGTGGAAACCGAATGAAAATCAGGGAACGATTGTTGCAGGTGGAAATTCGCGAGGAGGAAAACTTGATCAATTGAACGAGCCAACAGATGTGGTGGTCGACGAAATCAATAATTCGTTGATCATTGCTGACAAAGGGAACAGGCGAGTGGTACAATGGCGGGATGGAAATCAACAGGATGTTTTCATTGATAACATTCACTGTTCTCGGTTAGCTATAGATAAAGAAGGCTTGCTTTACGTTTCGGATTGGAGAAAAAATGAAGTGAGAAGATGGAAAATCGGAGAGAAAGGAAAAGGAACAGTAGTAGCTGGTGGAAATGGCCGAGGAAATCAACTGAATCAACTCAACTCTCCTTGTTTCATCTTTGTTGATGGTGATCAATCAGTTTATGTTTCGGATCGTTTGAACCATCGCGTGATGAAATGGAGAAAAGATGACCGAGAAGGAATTATTGTTGCTGGTGGTAATGGACAGGGTGATGATCTTAATCAACTGAGTGGTCCACAAGGAGTAGTTGTTGATGATTTTGGACAAATTTATGTTTCAGATTGTTATAATAATCGAATAATGCGTTGGCGTGAAGGTGATGAAGAAGGTGAAACAGTTGTCGGTGGACGTGGAGAAGGAGAGAGACCGCATCAGTTGTATTGTCCGACTGGTTTATCATTTGATGCTGATGGTAATCTTTATATTGTGGATCTCGGGAATAATCGAGTTCAAAGATTCGATTTGATTTTTGAATAAAAATATAGAAATGTTCTTTTCAGGTACAGAAAAGGCGCTAAAATAAGAATGTCAGTTGAAAATACTATAAGGTGAGCGTGTCATGACGTAAATCAAAAAACAAGACGCTTAGACGTCACAGATGAAATCCTGCTTTTTCCTTCGATCTTCCATTTGTAGCTATCAATCGACTCTCTTAACTGATGCTGGGAAATGGACATAGGGTGAAGTTTGAGCTTATACAAACTACTCTCATCCTCACTAAAGCTTCATGAAAGGAATGCAGTGCCATCTACAGAACAGGATTGTAACTCTACTAAAATAAATTATGTTTTTTAATAAAGCATAGGTTGATTCGTTCTTTCACTTTCCATTACATTAAATTCATTTTGAAACATGGCGTCATATTCGATTCAAACAACAAATCGAATAACACCGAATTTGTATATTGGATGTGCAAAACTTGCTCGAAGTAAGTTCTTTCTCGACAGTAATAACATCCATGGCATAATCAATGTTACTCAGAACGAACCAATTGCGTATCCCGAATCATATGATTATCTACGTGTAAATATTGACGATGAGCCCAGTGAACAAATCCAGTTATTCTTTCAAAATGTTTTCGAATTCATTCGACGACACCATAATCTCGGACATAGTGTGCTAGTTCATTGTCAGATGGGCGTCTCACGAAGTGCAACACTTGTAATTGCCTATCTGATGATCGATGGACGTAAGACACTCGGTGAAGCTTTTCTTCAAGTGAAAAGTGCTCGGCCACAAATCGATCCAAACGAAGGCTTTATCCGACAACTACGTGATCTAGAAAGATCGTTATTTCATCAAACAATGACTTTAGAACGTATCTCATATCAAGATACAAGCATTGATGAATCGCCTCGAATCGTTTTGGATCGCGTGCTCGTCGTACTTCAAGATTTCACTGTAGCCTTTGCTGACGACGCATCTATTCAAACACTTGATATGCTTAAAGAAAAACTTCTGACAATGATGGACAAAGTTAAACACAATCACATGACCGATCTAGTTGCTAATGCAATCTGTAGATATTTGCGAATGTTTGGAAAGGATGACCCATTTGATCGGCAAGCAAGAATTGGCTTACAAAAAGGACTTTCTGCTTTGTGTACATTTTACAGTATCGAACTTATCGATTGCATCGACAAGTTTATGCTTACAGAAGAATGGAGACATCTGTGCGTTGACGTACCGCTAGTCAATCAATGGATCAGTGATTTACGAAATGACAATGTTTCCATCGATATGTAATTAGAAGAGAGTCGGTCACTCATTTTATCAAGGAAGTGATTGTAATCTTTAGTGATAATTTCTCTTAAAAACAACAAGAAAAATGAGCAGTCGTCCAATTGACACCGCTCTGCCTAGCTTGAATATTCTCACTTGATAATAATGAGAGTATCCTATATGGTCGATGGACCTTTAAATAGAAGATGAATCGCAAAGACGAATATTCACTTTACAACCGATAAAATAAATCACATTGAAAAACATCAGTTCAACTGTTCTCTGACTCTTTCATTATCCTCCCCTAAACGTCTGCTTATGTTTGTTGACTTCGACTCAAAGCTTACAATCTTATCTATATCAGCGCGTGTTCTTCTCTAACATATTTCAGTTCAAAAGTGCCAGTTCCGAATAACAAAGCACAATGTTCCACACGTTAAAAAAACGTACCTTTGTACAGAATGTTTAAGTCAGTTTTATTTAACTCATTCGACAAACAGCCGAATAGTAACGACAGGATTTTACTAAGTGTATACACTCTCATGGTGATCTCTGAAATCGAAGTGAAATATAATAAATTAACGAGCCAATTGAAAAATGGTTCAACAAGAAAATGAGTTCAATGAAACTAACTTGGACTATTTTAAAGAACGGTTAAAACAAATTTCGGACAAATCTAGGCTACTATTGGCAGCTTCTATTGAGGAAGATAATTCACAAATATTTATCGAAAAAATTTCAGTTAATCCATCGAGTAGTACGTTAACTAAAACAAATGCAATGAGCTTGTGAATATCAGTGTATCGCTGTGAAATATTCTTTCGAAGAAGTCTAACGTTAGAGTTGAGTTCTTCAGCCTTAATTACTTTTCTCTATAGATCTCTATTCGTATAGATTGATTCCTTTTTAATGTTTGATTTCACTGTTGGTTCTTTCAGCAATTTCGATTACTAAGTATCGAAAAAGTAGATGGTTATTAAACTAAACTGAAGAAAAGAAGAGAAACCCAATGAGTTTCTTTTTTTTTTCTTCTTCTGCGGAGTCGATGCAGAGAACGTCAGAAATGAATAATTCATTTCATTGCACCACAACGACACAATTCATTCATTCCAGTATAAAATATACTGCTGAAAGTCAAAATTGAGTAATTCAGTCTTTAATTGGAAAAGAATGGCTCAAACTTTAATCAAAACAAAGCTGAATTTAATTCCTTTAAAATACAAATCATGTGCTGTCGTTGTGGGCAAAACAGGAGTTGGTAAATCAGTATTGATAGGTGGTCTCTGCAGATCAAACGAAAACTTTCGAAACACTGTAGTGCATGGCGATGTTACATTTTGTTTGATCGATTCACCTGGAATCGATACCTTAAGACAAACGCCCGAGAATTGGAATCTACTGCGAAATGCCCTAACAGCAAAATGTATCAATACAATATTTGTGATTATTAAATATGATTTCAGTTTAGAACGAATGCTCGAAGATTTCAACGAGATTCGAAGACTAATGGGGAAATTTTCTACGAGGTTCGTTGTAATGGTGTCTCATTGGGATGCTGCACAGGAACCGAATGAAGACTTTAGAAAAATTTGCAGCTCATTTGAGAACATTTGTTCAAATGTGATATTTTACTCGATGGACAGTCCGAAGAATGATTTAGCAGGTTTAATGTACGGTTGTATCTGTCATATGTCAAGAGATAAATTAACAATATCCGACGAAGAATTTTCAAAATGGAAAGAGCAATATTAACTTTAGAGACTCATTTGGTTTATGTGTCATGCTTAATCACACGTATGACCGGACACTCTGATCGATTGTATAATGTACTCATTTGTTGAGTGTACGAAAAAAAAACACTCATTTTTACCATTACTTTTTCCGTTTCCGATGCGCAATACAGAATTAATCTTTTTCTATAAGTATAAAAGAAACGATTAAAAAACTCACTGCTGCTCATAAGTCGATAGCTAATCGATCATCTAACTCAAATTGATGCTACGATCACACCTAATTCACATGAAAATAGCACGTCAAATTATGCTAATTATTATGCGAGGATTTTCCCATGTACACTAAAACTCTTCTCGCTGTGTTAATCGAGTTCAATTTAGAATAAATAAACACTGTTGAGCTGTAGACAACAGCATGAAAATGTCATCCATTTGGGATTTCTAGTTCTGCTATGGCTTATATTTGTTGATAGGTAAACGGAAATATGTTCAAAACAAAATGTAAACAAATTTCGAGAAGATGTTCGCTTGAACACTTCTACTGTATCCTGTAGAGCTGATTTCGGCATATTGATTGTAAACGAATTAGAGATTAGGTAAACTGGATTTGACATATTCAGAATTCGAAATTCTCGTCCGAATGTCTCCATCAATCCGCATCTTCGTCTTAAGGCTATTTCGTACAGTTAAAAAACTCAAGATGAGCATCAAGTAGCATTTATTTTCGATATCGTAGAAAATGATGATTTGAATGTAAACTATGCGCCAAAATATGATATTTCCAATGATGAGGCAAAATCCATTGCTGTCGTAGTGCACTACGTGAACTGGCAAAATATTGATTGATTGATTAAGTGAAAACAATACACATGAGAATGAACTTGGCGTTTTCGATAAACCAAACTAGACCCATCCCATATTGAGAAATATTTTCGTTCAAGAGATTAACAAGTGAAATGTAGTAATCATAATCAGTGTTAATAGTATCATCCCCGGTTGTATTCGACATTAGTATTTATCTATTCATTCAGAATATGATATGATAACTATCACATGATTTTAATTATGTGACAGAAATCTTTACCATGATGATAATCATAGTCTATACTTTATTAGTAGGCCTGAGATTAATTGACGAAAGTACTCACGGGTATTCCGGATAGAATATGTCTAGATTGAGCTAGTGCGTGACAAAATGTGGTTGGAGAAATACGCACATGATTCATCGTTCCACTTTTCAAATACAGATCCTATAAGATGTGAAAACTAAGATATAGAGCCTTTTCTCGAGAGATTAGTTTTGATAGTCTACAATAAGAATTAAGCCAGTGTCAAATAGACATTTATATTCATATAAAAGAGTATGTGAGTTACGTTCATTTTTCTGATAATTTAACACATTAATTATCATCATTTTCCTTTTAGCTCTAATAGTTGAAAGGAACAGGATACTATTATTTGATAAGGAACTTTTCTCTTAATGACCAGTTGAAATAAAGTTGTAAATTACAAAGAATCTGTAGCGTAACTAAGCAACTTCAAATTAGTCTAACTCCTAGATCGCGTTTCTAATTTACTCGCTTCTACAAATAATCAACGTGAGGGCATCACCATAATAACATCAAATAACACTATGACTCGGGATTGGTACTATACAGAAGTAAATATATCTTCATACACTACTGTTTTCTCTCAACTAAAGCATAAAGATCAATACAATGAGAAGAAATTATAACTATTCTTTTAAGATTAATTAAACAAGATAGATGAAATCTTATAAAATGTAGTTCAACCGATATCTACTTATCGTTGTTTGTACGAATGTTTGTGGATCCATTAGCGGTTCTTTCATGCAATGAAAATCTGCTGATAGAAAATATTTGTCTATCAACTTCATTTGGTGTATGTATGCTACATTTTATCGTTTTATTGTTTTAACTGTTCTCACCGGAATTAGAATGAAGTCAATCGATGTGGTTCGATAACGTAAGTTTCGTTAATTGGCTATTCAAACAACATATTCTGTAATAGTGGAGTTCCGCAAACGAATAGCACTGTAAGCAGTCAACGAACTAGCTTTCAGAAGTTCATCGCAATTCCAAGAATGATATTCAGTGAAGACGCTATCGAAAACTGTCTTTCTTTAGCATTATGCAGAGCTTGTGTACGGGTATTATATAGCTGTTGTGACACCAATAATTGCAATACTTGTCCAGCGCAAGGGTGTTTTTATAGAGAACCTGCATCTTCTATTGGAATTCAATATGCTCCTACAAATGAGTTCGACTTCCAGCAAAATTTTGTCATTTTTATTTCTAATTTTAACCAAAAAAACATGAAGATAAAGTCAACCACAATATGATGTGATCATCTCTTCGAATAGACGTCTCGCAAGTATAACCTCATTCAAAAAGAATAGATTTTACTTTCAAACTATTGAGTTTATCTCGTCCAAGAAGTTTGAGATGGTCTGATCATCTTGTGCACTTGAATATTTCCAACTATCTTCATCGATGGTAACTGAGCTGTTCGCCGCTGAACTTTTTAATATGAATTCCTTCAGATTATCAGATAACTTTTCATCACGAAGGTCGAAAAATTCCAGTTGCTCTCTCTCTGTTCCAAGATTCGTCAGTTTGGGAAATCGTAGTTTAGTCGTATCAATAACCTGATGCCTTGATTTACAACACATGTAAACGGTACATAGAACAATAAGTACGTTGAGTTTCTTGACTAATATTCGTAGTTCGAGAAGTATACTTTCGAGGATAGATACCGGTTTGTCCTGAAACGATTCCAAAAAGTGCTGCACTTGTTTAAATACATACAAGTCGTGCGTGTATTTTTCATAACGCCAAAGACAAAGATCTTCATGATTTGCTGCGCTAATTGACGTTGATAAATGTCTTTTCATAGCAGATAAAGAATAACATCGATAATCATTGACTGACAGCCCATCTCTGCTGTTTTCTGATCGACGAAAGAGAATTTTGGCATCAGCTGCATCATACCATCTTTGACGTTGCCGTAAATATTCTAATAAGTGATCCAAGCGTTTTCGTATGGGTAGTTTAGTATAATCTTGTTTCATTTGAACAACTTCCCGACTTTGACTTGGTTTCGATTGCTTCGGTGGTTTTTTCAAGTGTTTTATTTGATTTTGTATTTCTGGCATCCGCTTTATACTTGAAGCTTTTTCAAAACATTTGAGCGCATTCTCTTTATCCGAAATATTGTTGTACGTATATCCAGCAGAACACAAACATTCGTACACCTCATTCGAATTCGTTTTACATAGTGGCTCCAAGTATTCTTCAAATAAAGCCAAACATTCAGTTGGCATCGGTCGAAGAGAATTGAAACGCTTGAATAGGTACGAAAATGATGAACGATTCGCTTCGATTTCGGATTCAGCACGTAATATAGCTTTATTCATTTCGATGGCTTTTCTCGACCAATCTGGATTGTCAGTGAAGCAGCTATACATTATCAAGTGCAATGGTCTATTGTCGGTTTCACGGGTTCCCCATTTTGAGCTAAGACGACTCCACCATTGTTTCCAATTTGTAGTTTCGCTTTGTAATTCATCCGCAGCATTTTCCTTCAATATATGTAATACATCACCGAAAACTTGTGGGTTTGTCTCCTTGCTGATTGTATCAGCGATTTGAAAATAGTTCTGAGTGCAGGCTCCTTGTCTATCCGAGATAAGTTCAAGTGTTACCATTGCTCGACAACCATCGACTGGATAATCGACACGTTCGACACGAAAATGTGAAACAAGCGAAAAGAGTACTTCTTTCTCTCCCATAGCAGAATATTGAGAAATATTCGCGAACACTTGTTCGTGCGCAGGGGTATGCTGATGTTCGTTATTATATTCATTGGTGATAATAATTTCAAATAGGCATGGAATTTGATCATGTTCAGCAGACGCAAATCCCAACGCCAGTCCCGGATCAAGTGTGGTTGATATAAAAGAAGTCAGTATAATGATGGGTCTTCTGGACTGACAAATCGATTTCAAATAATTAAGTTCATCTAAACTCAGAGCTTGTCCTCGGTACACAGACCGAATCGTTTGTTTTGACGATAAATAATACTTTTCATGAAGTTGGTATAATTGTGCGTGTAAATCATGGATATATGGAGCGAATTCCGTAATTATTTGCATGTCTTGTATACGCAAAGCGCGATTGACGATACGGTAAAGAAAACTATCTTTTGTATATTCACGAATTGCATTGCAAGGTTTATATTCTTCTTCCAACTTGTCAATCTGTTTAATCTGATGAGCCACTTTCGGATAATAATTGCGACAAGCCTGGAACATTTTTGCACGAGAGTCGTCAGTGTATAAAGAATGATTGCAGATAACATAGAGAAATAAATGATACCATTGAGCATCATCCGTCAAAGCTTTTCGAACAGATTTCTCATCCAGTGGCCATCGTGAAGTGAACTGTTTGATATCAATATGAAGACGGCCAACTAATTGTTCTGCATTGGAAACTACACATCGAACCTTTTCAATTCCTTCTGTCCATGTTTTGTGTACTTCTTCTTCCTTGCAATAAATGTAAATGCCAATAATCTGTTGTTCGCCGACTAATTCATTGATATAATCTTTGCCTAGTTTTCCCGAGATAATCAAGAAAATCTTGGTATTTTCGACTTTATGAATATATTCTCGAGTGGCTGTAACATTATCAAATGGATGAATACGGTCAGCACTGATCATTGCTGGTAGACTTTTGCTTAAATCTTCATTATCATTAATGCCTACGAGGCATACGATATACTCGTCCATATTATCACATATTTTCAAATTGAATGAGTGTAGGGTGTTGGTAGGGACGTGTCGTGTTTCGTCGCGCGCTGTCATGATACTTTCAGCCATTTTGATTTCTTCTAAAATCGCTTCTGTACAATGAAAATAAACACGTAGAAAAGCAGAGAAAGATTTTCACTTTTTTTCTTCTGCAATCTCGCTTAATACACATGGCAGAATACAAAATACAAGCATTTTCCTCTTTTTATGATTGTTGTACGACAGACTATGAAAAGAAAATGATCACGTTCGCGCGCGTCTAGAAATCACCAGAAAGTACTTCAATCTTTTAGAAGTACTACTTCATAACACACAAAAGTAACAGTTTTCAAGTATAGCGAAATGCTACAAACAAAAAAGAAGTAGCGTTCGATGTGAGCATAACACAATCAAATAGTACGTCGTCATCAGTTTAGAAGTACAGGATATCAAGGCCAATTCAATCGAATTAATGGTTTATAAATGTTTAGGTAGAGACACCCTTCATCTTGATTATAGGAATGCAATCTGCAGTTTTCGGCTAAGGGTAGCACGGGCTCAATGATATTGCATGGTCTAAACCATTTATAAACATCTCTGCATCAAGGCTCATCGGCGGTTTCCATCGAGTTACTTGTTCATATTTGAATACTAAACAGAACATAGAGGGTGAGTTCATAAATAAAGTAAATGAATTGATATCCGAGTTTCAGTTTGTCGACCATAAACAATTCGCTGTTGAGCATGAAGTCCAGTATTGATTGTTATTATATTCAACAAAATAGGACTTATATATCTCTTTCATAGTTTTAACTGGTGGTGAATTCGCTTGCAGACGACAATGCATACATCCTTCGCCTTTCTGCGGGCAGCACACAAGAGGAACAAGTTGATCATTGAAATATTTAATATGGGGTTTTGATGTTTACTCATTTGAACTTGATTCGTCAAAAGTTTTGACGATCTCATTTTCATATTCAAAAGAAGTAATAATATCAGAATTGATCGATACATTTTGTTCAACAACTGAAATTGAAATTACCCATAGAACAAAAAAAAGGATCGAATAGATTTATCATTTTCTTTTGATAAACATATTGAAGAGAAGATTTATGCAAAATCTCAATGACTTTTCTGCTAGCAAAACAAAGGTAAATATTAGAANAACACGTCGGAAACCAGCTCAAGCGCAGGTGTCTGTATGTTATTTAGAAAATCGGTCATGTGAATTTCCTTTTCTTTTCTTTTTCGTTAGGCTCGTTCGTCCATGAGATCAACTAATATGACAACCGTCACTCCGCATGCAGAATCAGAGCTGACAATCACTTCGAAAGTTTCGCCCCAATTATTCTCAAGTTCCAATGAAAACTCAAATCAAGTACATTCATTACCTATCAATTCACATCGTCCTCATTCACCTTCATCTTCACAGGCGTTAACATCTTGTGTTGATCCTCTAACTCAAAGTTATTCTTCTATACGTAGTATTCATTCAGATTCTAGTCTTAATCCATCTTTAATCAATACCAAAGCACCATCTTCAAATCCAAATCCGGGCACAACATCACTTAATTCTTCTCTTCACTTGCAACGCAATACACCTTCGTCGAACACTAATCAATCTCAGCGAAGTCGAACCGGTCAGCATCGCCGAAATCTAAATGGCCGCGCTACCATTCATCGAGATCGTAAGAATTCCTTTACAAAGTCGAATACAAATAAACTTGATGAGCAGTCAACAACAAACAGGTCCTTTAGTTCGTGACATCAAAGCCATTCTTGAAGAACATTTAGCAATGATTAATGATTTAATTACGTTGGTGAAATAAGATTGTTTTTTTTAAAGCAAGTATTATCTTTATCGTATAATTGGATATTTTGTCATGGATTAGTTGTACTCGCATTGAATATCAACATTTATTTCCTGTGATTGGTCATGGATTCACAATTGGAAAAGGATATTCAATATTTGATTTACCTGATTTACAAGGTCGTATTGTTATACGACGAAATCCATGTGGAAATGAAACAGATTATGCTTCGAAAGTGAGTATTAGAGATGGTCAAGCAAAACATATTCTAATAATAGATGATAGTTCATCGTTCTCACTTCGTTTATATCGAACATTAGATTATATTATTTTTAATGGACAGCAAAATAGCAATACCCGACAATTCACGCAACAAATCTGTTGTTGTTCGTCTAAAGCCACTTTATGGATTTCATCGTTCTTATTCAACTCTTGACACCGCTTTGTCAAGTGAGGTATGGTACAGCATGTTTTCAGAACTTTATGACGCGTCTTGTCAGTCGCAATAATGCGTAGACATAAAATAGACAGTACAATCCGAAAAGTAGCACATGTGAATATCAGGATAATGAAGCGTATAAACCATGATTCAACTATTCCCATGGGTAAGTATTTCGAGTGGACTAAAGGTAGAATAAATAGATATTCATGGTGAACTTGGGAATTTCTCGTCGTGCATTCTCAAATTTTTCATCTGATGAAACAAATGTCGGAAAATGTCTTGGGTACCTCTTGTGGATGAAACTTATTATGCGAACAGAATGTAAATGCTGTCGTAATGTTAACAGCAGGAAATTACTCAACTGAACATAAAATTTTGCTTTAGAATAGTCCCAAAGTTTCTTTTGTGCAACTATATAATCAGAATTCCCTCGCTAACTGCCCGACAAACTCTCTCCTGCTCGCTCTCATCTTCAGTCATCGATATTTACGATTCGTGCAACAAGCTGGATAGTTCGAACTGGTTTCGATGGATGCAGCTGGAAAAAATCATCAAAGCTCTGTAGGAGGGTATAGAGAGCACCTATCAATAGTACATTTGCTGGCCATGTAACTGTTATTATCCCCGTTTTATGATTATTTCTTAAAAACATCTTGGGAAGAAAAAGTGGTTTTGTCAGCAGGGGTCGTTTTTTGTATTACTTGTAAATAGATGTAGAGAGTTCGAAATGAAAAGATTAATCACTTTTTCGTTCTGTTACTGATTCTCAACGTTGAATGAACTTCGTACGTTATCGTTTTTGATTATAACCACAGAAGTATTTTTCGCAGTTTTACTTTACCGGATGGCGACAATTAATAACAAAACACAATGTTCCGTTTGTAATGAACACAAAATCACGTACCCTTGTCAAGGCTGTGCAAATCAATTCTGTTATGAGGATTTAGCCCAACATCGACAGAAATTAAACGAAGATTTTGATGAGATCATTCGTGATTACGAACAATTCCGAGAGAACATCCATCAACAAAAACAAATTCCTCGGGTGTCTCATTTGTTTTACCAAATCGATCAATGGGAAACAAATTCGATCGAAATTATTCAACAAACAGCAGAGCGATGTCGACAAGCATTAGTCGAGAAAATCAAAGTGTTTGTTATCGATATCGAAGAAGAGGTCAACAACTTGATCAGCGAAATCAAACAATTTCAGCGTGAAAATGAAGTCAATGAAATGAATCTGGAGCATTTAAAAGACCAATTAGGTAAAATTGCAAATGAGTTTAATAACCCCTCAACAATCACTCTCGACGAAAGTTCACAAATAGTTATTTGGAAAATTTCAATTCAATCGATAAAAAGTAGGCGTAGAATGTAAATGAAAGCGATTTGACTTCTGTTCTTTTTCTCAGAATTTAATCTCAATATCTGGAACCAGAATGCTGTGACAATAGCAGGCGGCAGTGGATTCGGAGAGAAGCTGAACCAACTGTCAACTCCGTTTGGAATTTGTATTGACAAAATGAAAAACGTCTTCATCGCGGATTGGGAGAACGATCGCGTGATGAAGTGGAAACCGAACGAGAATCAGGGAACGATTGTTGCAGGTGGAAATTCACGAGGAGAAAGACTTGATCAATTGAACGAGCCAACAGATGTGGCAGTCGACGAAATCAATAATTCGTTGATCATTGCTGATAAAGGGAATAGGCGAGTGGTGCAATGGTGGGATGGAAATCAACAGGACATTCTCATTGATGACATTCACTGCTCTCGGTTAGCTATAGATAAAGAAGGCTTGCTTTACGTTTCGGATTGGAGAAAAAATGAAGTGAGAAGATGGAAAATTGGAGAGAAAGGAATAGGAACAGTAGTAGCTGGTGGAAATGGCCCAGGAATTCAACTTAATCAACTCAACTCTCCTTGTTTCATCTTTGTTGATGATGATCAATCAGTTTATGTCTCGGATCGTTTGAACCATCGTGTGATGAAATGGAGAAGAGATGCCCGAGAAGGAATTATTGTTGCTGGTGGTAATGGACAGGGTGATGATCTTAGTCAACTGAGTGGCCCACAAGGAGTAGTTGTTGATGATTTTGGACAAATTTATGTTTCAGATTGTTATAATAATCGAGTAATGCGTTGGCGTGAAGGCGACGAAGAAGGTGAAACAGTTGTCGGCGGACGTGGAGAAGGAGAGAGACCGCATCAGTTGTATTGTCCGACCGGTTTATCATTTGATGCTGATGGTAATCTTTATATTGTGGATCTCGGGAATAATCGAGTTCAAAGATTCGATTTGATTTTTGAATAAAAATATAGAAATGTTCTTTTCAGGCACAGAAAAGGCACTAAAATAAGAATGATAGTTGAAAATACTAATAAGGTGAGAGTGTGGTGATGTGAACCAAAAACAAGACACTTAAACGTCACAGATGAAATCCTACATTTCCTTTCAATCGTGCAGTTGTAACTATGAATCGATTGTCCTTACTGATGTCGGAAGATGGACATGCGGTGAAGTTTGAGTATGCAAACTACTTTCATCCTCACTAGACTGCGTGAAAGGGATGCAGTGCCATCTACCGAACAGGATTGTAATTCTACTAAAATAAATCATGTTTTTTAATAATACATAGGTTGATTCGTTCTTTCATTTTCCATTACATTAAAGTAATTTTGACACATGACATCATATTCGATTCAATCAACAAATCGAATAACATCAAATTTGTATATTGGATGTGCAAAACTTGCTCGAAGTAAGTTTTTTCTCGATAATAATAACATCCATGGCATAATCAATGTTACTCAGAACGAACCAATTGCGTATCCCGAATCATATGATTATCTACGTGTAAATATTGACGATGAGCCAAGTGAACAAATTCAGTTGTTCTTTCAAAATGTGTTCGAATTTATTCGACGACACCATAATCTCGGACATAGCGTGCTAGTTCATTGTCAGATGGGCGTCTCACGAAGTGCAACACTTGTAATTGCCTATCTGATGATCGATGGACGTAAGACACTCGGTGAAGCCTTTCTTCAAGTGAAAAGTGTTCGACCACAAATCGATCCAAACGAAGGTTTTATCCGACAACTACGTGATCTAGAAAGATCGTTATTTCATCAAACAATGACTTTAGAACGTATCTCATATCAAGATACAAGCATTGATGAATCGCCTCGAATCGTTCTAGATCGCGTGCTCGTCGTATTTCAAGATTTCATTGTAGCCTTTGCTAACGACGCATCTGTTCAAACACTCGATATGCTCAAAGAAAAACTTCTGACAATGACGAACAAAGTTAAACACAATCACATGACCGATCTAGTGGCTAATGCAACCTGTAGATATTTGCGAATGTTTGGAAAGGATGACCCATTTGATCGACAAGCAAGAACTGGTTTACAACAAGGACTTTCTGCTTTGTGTACGTTTTACAGCATTGAACTTACCAATTGCATCGACAAGCTTATGCTTACAGAAGAATGGAGACATTTGTGCGTTGACATGCCGCTAGTCAATCAATGGATCAGCGATTTACGAAATGACAATGTTTTCATCGATATGTAATTAGAAGAGAGTCGGACACTCATTGTATCAAGGAAGCGATTGTCATCTTTAGTGATAATTTCTCTTAAAAACGGCAAAAAAAACGAGCAGTCGTCCAATTGACACCGCGTTCTGCCTAGCTTGAATATTCTCACTTGATAATAATATGAGAGTGTCTTATGATTGGCGGACCTTTAAATAGAAGAATATTCACTTTACAACCGATGAAATAAATCACATTGAAAATTATCAGCTAAACTGCTCGATGACTTTTTCATTATCCTTCCATAAACGTCTGCTTATGTTTGTTGACTTCGACCCAAAGCTTACCATCTTATCTATATCAGCGCGTGTTCTTCTCTGACATATTTTAGTTCAAAAGTGCCAGTTCCGAGTAACGAAGCACAATATTCCACATGTAAAAAAAAAACGTACCTTTGTACAGGATGTTCACATCAATTTTGTTTAACGCGTTCAACAAACAGCCGAATAGTGACGACAAGATCTTCCCAAATGTACACTCTCATGGTGACCTCTGAAATCAAAGTGAAATATAATGAATTAACGAGTCAATTGAAAATGATTCAATAAAATTAATCTGAACTATTTTAAAGAACAGTTAAAACAAATTTCAGGCAAATCTAGGCTAACATTGGCAGCTTCTATTGAGGAAGATAATTCACAAATATTTATCGAAAAAATATCAGTTAGTCCATCGAATATTACGTTAACTAAAACAAATGCAATGAGCTTATGAATATCAGTGTGCCGTTGTGAAATATTTTTTCGAAGAAGTCTAACGTTAGAGTTGAGTTCCTCAGTCTTAATTGCTTTTCTCCTCTATAGATCTCTATTTGTATCGATTGATTCATTTTTAATTTTTGATTTCACTGCTGGTTCTTTGAGCAATTTAGATTAGTAAGTATCGAAAAAGTAGATGGGTATTAAACTAAATTGAAGAAAATAAGAGAAACCCAATGAATTTCTTATTTTTTTTCTTCTGCGGTGTCGATGCAGGGTACGCAAGAAATGAATAATTCATTTCATTGCATCACAACAACGCAATTTATTCATTCCAGTATAAAATATACTGCTGAAAGTGAAAATCGAGTAATTCAGTTTTTAATTGGAAAAGAATGGCTGTAACTTTAATCAAATCAAAGCTGAATTCAATTGCATTAAAATACAAGTCATGTGCTGTTGTTGTGGGCAAGACAGGAGTTGGTAAATCAGTATTGATAAGTGGTCTCTGCGGATCAAACGAACACTTTCGAAACACTGTAGTGCATGGCGATGTTACATTTTGTTTGATCGATTCACCTGGAATCAATACCTTAAGACAAACGCCCGAGAATTGGAATTTACTGCGAAATGCTCTAACAGGAACATATATCAATACGATATTTGTGATTATTAAATATGATTCCAGTTTAGAACGAATGCTCGAAGATTTCAACGAGATTCGAGGACTGATGGGGAAGTTTTCTACGAAGTTCGCCGTAATGGTGTCTCATTGGGATGCTGCACAGGAACCGAATGACGATTTTCGAAAAATTTGCAGCTCGTTTGAGAATATTTGTTCAAATGTGATATTTTACTCGACGGACAGTCCAAAGAATGATTTAGCAGATTTAATGTACGGTTGTATCTGTCATATGTCAAGAGATAAATTAACAATATCCGACGACGAATTTTCAACATGGAAAGAGCAATATTAACTTTAGAGATTCATTTGGTTTATGTGTAATGCTTAATCACACGTATGACCGGACACTCTGATCGATTGTATAATGTACTTATCTGTTGGGTGTACGAAGACAAAGCACTCATTTTTTACCATTACTTTTCCGTTTCCGATGCACAATATAGAATTAGTCTTTTTCTAGAAGCGTAAAAGAAACGATTAAAAAACTCACTGCTGCTCATAAGTCGATAGCTAATCGATCATCTAACTCAAATTGATGCTACGATCACACCGAATATACATGGAAATAACGCCTCAAATTATGCTAATTACTATGCGATATTTTCCCCATGTACACTCATCTTCTCGCTGTGTACCTTCGCCTTGCGGATATTTCGTACAGTTAACAAACTCAAGATGAGCAGAAAATGATGATTTGAATGTAAACTATGAGGCGAAATCCATTGTGCTGTCGTAGTGCACTACATGAGCTGGCAAAATATCGATCGATTGGTTAAGCGAAAACAATACACATGAGAATAAAACCGGCGTTTCCTATAAACCAAACCAGACCAATCCCATATTGAGAAATATCTTCGTTCAAGAGATTAACAAGTGAGATGTAGTGATCATCATCTGTATAAAATGCAACGACGTTCGTATCACTCAATGTCTTTTTCGGTATCAGTATTTATCTCTTCATTCAAAACGATTATGGTAACTATAGCATCGTTCTGTGTCAATGACATCTTTATCGTGATGACAGTCATAGTCTATATTTTAGTAATAGGCCTGAGATTAATTGACGAAAGTACTCGCAGGTATTCCGGATAGAATATGTCTAGATTGGGCTAGTGCGTGACAAAATGTGGTTGGAGAAATACGCACGTGATTCATTGTTCCACTTTTCAAATACAGTTCCTATAATATGTGAAAACTAAGATACAGAGCTTTTTCCCGAGAGATTAGATTTGATAGTCTACAATAAGAATTAAGCTAGTGTCAAATAGACATTTATATTCATATAAAAGAGTCTGTCAGTTACGTTCATTTTTCTGATAATTTAACACATTGATGATCACCATTTCGCTTTTAGCTCTAATAGTTGAAAGAAACAGGGCACTATTATTTGATAAAGAACTTTTCCCTTAATGACGAGTTGTGTAAATTACAAAGAATCTGTAGTGTAACTAAGCAACTTCAAAGTAATCTAACTCATAGATCGCGCTTCTACAAATGATCAACATGAGGGCGTCACCATAATAACATCAAATAACACTATGACTCGGGATTGATACTATACAGAAGTGAATATATTTTCATCCACTACTGTTTTCTCTCGACTGAAGCATAAAGTTCAATACAATGAGAAGAAATTATAACTACTTTTTTAAAGATTAACTAAACGAAATAGAGGAAATCTTATAATATGTAGTTCAACCGATATCTACTTACCGTTGTTTGTTTGAGCGTTTGTGGATCCATTAGCGATTTTTTCATGCAATGAAAATCTGCTGATGGAAAATATTTGTCTATCAAATTCATTTGGTGAATTACTTCATGTTGTCTGCTATGCATGCTACATTTTGTTGCTTTATTGTTGTAACTGTTCTCACCGGAATTAGAATGAAGTTAATCGATGTGGTTCGATAATGCAAGTTTCGTTAATTGGCTATTTAAACAACATATTCTGTAATAGTGGAGTTCCGCAAACGTATGGCACTGTAAGCAGTCAACGAACTAGCTTTCAGAAGTTCATCGTAATTCCAAGAATGATATTCAGTGACGACGCTATCGAAAACTGTCTTTCTTTAGCATTATGCAGAACTTGTCTACGGGTATTATATAGCTGTTGTGACACCAATAATTGCAATACTTGTCCAGCGCAAGGGTGTTTTTATACCGAACCTGAAACTTCGATTGGAGTTCAATATGCTCCTACAAATGAGTTCGACTTCCAGCAAAATTTTGTCATTTTTATTTCTAATTTTAACCAAAAAAACATGAAGATAAAGTCATCCACAATATGATGTGATCATCTCTTCGAATAGACGTCTCGCAAGCATAACCTCATTCAAAAAGAATAGATTTTACTTTCAAACTACTGAGTTTATCTCGTCCAAGAAGTTTGAGATGGTCTGATCATCTTGTGCACTTGAATATTTCCAACTATCTTCATCGATGGTGACTGAGCTGTTCGCCGCTGAACTTTTTAATATGAATTCCTTCAGATTATCAGATAACTTTTCATCACGAAGGTCGAAAAATTCCAGTTGCTCTCTTTCTGTTCCAATATTCGTCAATTTGGGAAATCGCAGTTTAGTCGTATCAATAACCTGATCCCTTGATTTACAGCACATGTAAACGGTACATAGAACAATAAGTACATTGAGTTTCTTGACTAATATTCGTAGTTCGAGAAGTATACTTTCGAGGATAGATACCGGTTTGTCCTGAAACGATTCCAAAAAGTGCTGCACTTGTTTAAATACATACAAGTCGTGCGTGTATTTTTCATAACGCCAAAGACAAAGATCTTCATGATTTGCTGCGCTAATTGACGTTGATAAATGTCTTTTCATAGCAGATAAAGAATAACATCGATAATCATTGACTGACAGCCCATCTCTGCTGTTTTCTGATCGACGAAAGAGAATTTTGGCATCAGCTGCATCATACCATCTTTGACGTTGCCATAAATATTTTAATAAGTGATCCAAGCGTTTTCGTATGGGTAGTTTAGTATAATCTTGTTTCATTTGAACAACTTCCAGACTTCGACTTGGTTTCGATTGCTTCGGTGGTTTTTTCAAGTTTTTTATTTGATTCTGTATTTCTGGCATCTGCTTTATACTTGAAGCTTTTTCAAAACATTTGAGCGCATTCTCTTTATCCGAAATCTTGTTGTAAGCATATCTAGCAGAACACAAACATTCTACACCTCATTCGAATTCGTTTTACATAGTGGCTCCAAGTATTCTTCAAATAAAGCCAAACATTCAGTTGGCATCAGTCGAAGAGAATTGAAACGCTTGAATAGGTACGGAAATGATGAACGATTCGCTTCGATTTCGGATTCAGCACGTAATATAGCTTTATTCAGTTCGATGGCTTTTCTCGACCAATCTGGATTGTCAGTGAAGCAGCTATACATTATCAAATGCAATGGTCTATTTTCGGTTTCACGGGTTCCCCATTTTGAGCTAAGACGACTCCACCATTGTTTCCAATTTGTAGTTTCGCTTTGCAATTCGTCCGCAGCGTTTTCCTTCAATATATGTAATACATCACCGAAAACTTGTGGGTTTGTCTCTTTGCTGATTGTGTCAGCGATTTGAAAATAGTTCTTAGTGCAGGCTCCTTGTCTATCCGAGATAAGCTCAAGTGTTACCATTGCTCGACAACCATCGACTGGATAATCGACACGTTCAACACGAAAATGTGAAACAAGCGAAAAGAGTACTTCTTTCTCTCCCATAGCAGAATATTGAGAAATATTCGCGAACACTTGTTCGTGCGCAAGGGTATGCTGATGTTCGTTATTATATTCATTGGTGATAATAATCTCAAATAGGCATGGAATTTGATCATGTTCAGCAGACGCAAATCCCATCGCCACTACCGGATCAAGTGTGGTTGATATAAAAGAAGTCAGTATAATGATGGGTCTTTTGGACTGACAAATCGATTTCAAATAATTAAGTTCATCTAAACTCAGACCTTGTCCTCGGTACACAGACCGGATCGTTTGTTTTGACGATAAATAGTACTTTTCATGCAGTTGGTATAATTGTGCGTGTAAATCATGGATATATGGAGCGAAATCCGTGATTATTTGCATGTCTTGTATACGCAAAGCGCGATTGATGATACGGTAAAGAAAACTATCTTTTGTATATTCACGAATTGCATTGCAAGGTTTATATTCTTTTTCCAACTTGTCAATCCGTTTAATCTGATGAGCCATTTTCGAATAATAATTGCGACAAGCCTGGAACATTTTTGCACGAGAGTCGTCAGTGTATAAAGAATGATTGCAGATAACATAGAGAAATAAATGATACCATTGAGCATCATGCGTCAAAGCTTTTCGAACAGATTTCTCATTCAGTGGCCATCGTGAAGTGAACTGTTTGATATCGATATGAAGACGGCTAACTAATTGTTCTGCATTGGAAACTACATATCGAACCTTTTGGATTCCTTCTGACCATGTTTTGTGTACTTCTTCTTCCTTGCAATAAATGTAAATGCTAATAATCTTTTGTTCGCCGACTAATTCATTGATATTATCTTTGCCTAGTTCTCCCGAGATAATCAAGAAAATCTTGGTATTTTCGACGTTATGAATATATTCTTGAGTGGCTGTAACATTATCAAATGGACGAATACGGTCAGCACTGATCATTGCTGGTAGACTTTTGCTTAAATTATCATTAATGCCTACGAGGCATACGATATACTCGTCCATATTATCACATGTTTTCAAATTTAATGAGTGTAGAGTGTTAGTAGGGACGTGTCGTGTTTCGTCGTGCGCTGTCATGATACTTTCAGCCATTTTGATTTCTTCTAAAATCGCTTCTGTACAATGAAAATAAACACGTAGAAAAGCAGAGAAAGATTTTCACTTTTTTTTTTTCTTCTGCAATCTCGCTTAATACACATGGCAGAATACAAAATACAAGCATTTTCCTCTTTTTATGATTGTTGTACGACAGACTATGAAAAGAAAATGATCACGTTCGCGCACGTCTAGAAATCACCAGAAAGTACTTCAATCTTTTAGAAGTACTACTTCATAACGCACAAAAGTAACAGTTTTCAAGTATAGCGAAATGCTACAAACAGAAAAGAAGTAGTGCTCGATGTGAACATAACACAATCAAATAGTGCGTCGTCATCAGTTTAGAAGTACGTGACAACAAAGGCAAATTCAATCGATTTAGTGGTTTATCAATGTTTAGGTAGAGACATCCTTCATCTTGATTATAGGAATGCAATCTGCAGTTTTCGGCTAGGGATAGCATGGGCCCAATGATACTGCATGGTATAAACCATTTATAAAAACCTCGGCACCCATCGAATTATTTGTGCATGTTTGAATACTAAACAGAACATAGAGGGTATGAGTTCATAAATAAGATAGATGAATCGATACCCGAGTTTCAGTTTGTCGACTATAAAAAAATTCGTTGTTGAGCACGAAATCCACTATTGATTGTTATTATATTCAACAAAATGGAACTTAAATATCTCTTTCATAGTTTTAACTGGTGGTGAATTCGCTTGCAGACGACAATGCATACATCCTTCGCCTCTCTGCGGGCAGTACACAAGAGGAACAAATTGTTCATTGAAATATTTAATATGGGGTTTTGATGTTTACTCATTTGAACTTGATTCGTCAAAAGTTTTGACGATCTCATTTTCATATTCAAAAGAAGTAATAATATCAGAATCGATCGATCGATACATTTTGTTCAACAACTGAAATTGAAATTACCCGTAGAACAAAAAAAAAGGATCGAATAGATTTATCATTTTTCTTTTGATAAACATATTGAAGATAAGATTTATGCAAAATCTCAATGACTTGTCTGCTAGCAAAACAAAGATAAAGATTAGAAAATATCTAACAATGATCTTCAGCCATATATTGATGAATTAGTCTTTAAGAAAATGAAAGTGTAACAATAAAAACAGTTCTATAAGGTGAGCGAATGATTAGTTGGTATTCAACTAGTATTCATTTTCCTAACTCAACAATATGTATTACATTATCAAATCCGTGCGCACTTTGGAATCTTATTTTACTATTTTGATCATAAGTGACAATCGTTTGGTCGCCCATACGCAATGCATTTGACGTGAGTGTCATTTATTATTGTTATGATACTTGGCAAATCTGAAAAGAGTGAATTGAATCCTGTGTTTCGTAAATACAATTTTTTTGAATGACAGTTCATTAAATATTAACACATGAAAGCCACACAATCACAAATATATATTACAAAAGCTTGAATGATATCATCTCGTCAGTATATTGTCTATTGTTCGTTCAATAAAGTATCTTATAAATGATTCGACAAACATTGTGTTTCATAGTGGTTTGTTGATGCACCAACTTTCAATCCATTCCCCTTCCATTCACCACTCTCTTCATCCATATAATAACAACCAGACGAATACACTCGCATCTCATAATCTGATCGAAAGCTGTACACATCATCTGTTATCGGCAATTCATTTCTCAAGGACGTGTTCGAACAATATACGTCATCCTCCACTTCTCGTAAACCAATCACCATCGACGAATGACCAACTGTCTGCTCATTATCAATGAAATACCCATACACACTCTCATTCGTCATCGAATAATCACCAGCACACAGCAGTGTCCATCCATCGATGTTCTTCATTGAGCTGTTCACTTGTGGAATACCATCCAACTTATAGATCAACAAATATGAGATATTCACGTCCAACGGATGAATTTCCATATGAACCGAGATCGGTAGTGAACTTGTGATGTTTACATAATGATAAAAGAACACTTGGTGATGGTGTTGAGTTGAGTTAGTTGTGGATGATGTCACATTGTAGAGTGTCATCGGTGGTAACACGAATTGAGGATCTCGTGGAATGATGATCTCAATCAGATGATCTTCATCCGTTTCTGTTTTCACTTCTTCACCATTCTCATCAACAATTGTCAACGAAACTGATCTTGACAGATTCGTCAGAGATTCGGTTGATCTGTCAAAAGATGCCAGTGGTTGAATTAGTGTCTTAAAACAAGAAGGTACATATCTTAAGAATTAGAAAAATATAAATCATCTCACTCGAAGTGAAATCGTTTGATTTTCATTGAGATTTGTTTGTACTGTTGATGGAAAACGAATGTGACTATTTTCACTCTGATTGATCTGTTTGTGAAATAACGATGCAAGCGATGTTTTCTCTTGTGACATGAACACTTCCGATGTGTTCACAACAAACTGTTGTTCCACATTCAGCTGCATATCCAATGATGAACTTATCATCAACATCATCGCATTCGTTTTCATTCGAATTTCATTTGCCAATTGTTGTTGATAATACAGATTTCGATTCTTTTCGATTGTCGACCACGAAAAGTCATTCCCATTAGCAAATAAATCTTCATACAAAACAATCAAATAGGAGATAAGAGAAGCATGATCTCATACTCAGATTTGACCATTCCGATTCCACATCGGTGTCATAATCAATTGGAAATTGTGTTGCACGATCAAAATCAACATCCAACACATTCATTCTCTCTTGCAATGCACCGTTTACACCCTTCGCACAATCACATGCATCATTTCATCATTCACGAAAAAACAACAACTTTTCTTACTGTCATAAGATTTGTTGCACATTGAACTAAATAACTGGCGATTGTTTGTGTTTGTTCAGATGAGATGCGTGTTGACATTGAACACAAAGATTCACTCAACTCATAGCATCGATCCATCGCCATTCCCTACTCAACAAATCCAATTCGACAACCTGTTCACTTCTCTTCTACTTACCAGAGTGTTTCGTGTCAGCTGATTTGTTGATTTTGTCAATTGTGACAATGTTGACGATTGTAGTTCGATGCTGTTCGATGTTGTGATGGCAAGATTGGCAACAAATCCAATGAGATATTCTCGAACATTTGCATAATAATTCACTTGTTTTTCGTATTCACTCCATGATAATGATGATGTATTCAATGATTTCGACAACTAATAAGAATGAGAAACAATGGAATCATCGATTATGAAGAGAGAAAGAGATGAATGTACTGTTTGTAGTGATGAAACTGAAATATCTGTTGATGAGATTCCATCTATACATTAGAACAGACAACTTTCACGTCATTTCCTTCGGCTTCAAATGCAAATCTCACTTGCAACTGCTTCAGCGATGGTTTCTTCATTGATTTTATTCAGTTCATTTGAAAACAAACTCAGCACTTGACCAACGACGTTTTGATTTTCACTTCGAAGTAATTCAACATATGGATTGTTGACAAGTTGACTTGATGAATTTTGAATTTCGTCCATGAATCTGTTCATTTCAGTTACATCTGCTTGCACAACAATTGTTGATGACAAATGAAACTCAGTGAAACAATCAAACTGATCACGAACATGAACAATCACATGAAGTTCATTAGATGGTTCATCACCTGATGTAAATCGAACTGCAAATGTCGAAATAAATGAATATGCAACGAGAACTTCTTTCGACTGATTGCTTGTGGAAACTTTTGTGAAAAAAAAACAAAATCTCTCTTCTTCATGTCATCAACGATGCACAACTTACCATAAAGTGAATAGTCTTTGATTCCATCATTGTCTACCCAATTCATACAGTTCACATTAAACAATGTACTGGTTGTACCATTCACTGGATCGATCAAACATGACCCGTTGACAGGTGGTTGATTGAGAACGACATTCAGTGCACTGGAACTTCTTCTCACAGATCCGAACTCATAATCAACTTGAAATCTCCAATATGAATACTGAGAATAAGACAAAAAAACTTCGTTGATGATTGTCAAATTTCGAGTGTTTCGACCGAAGAACCAGATATTCTCATACAGGTCGGTTTGATTGAACAAACTCCACTGTGTGACGTTGGACGATGCATTTCTTTCTCCGCGATAGATCTTCCACTGCACACTTTGCACCATTGAACAGTTTCCAACACACATGGAAAACAAAGCAAGCTGTGCAGTTGTTGGATTCACCAGCTGATATTCAACATTCGAAATGCACATTTGCGAGATCACACAACTAAATAATATCATCACTCATTACAGAAGAAGAAGAAGGACAACTTTTTACCCAATGACAATCATTGGTGAATCAACATCTTCGACGTTGACAAGGAGATAACCTGTGACTTGTTTGGATGGATTCGGAATGTTTTGCATCGCAACCATGAACTGATATGTCCGATTGGATCGAAGAGAACCACTGAGAATGGTGAATGATGAATTGATGGCATTGTCAAATCTCCATCCTGTTCGATTCGATAAACATGATGGATTTGCTGAATCATTTCTCATATCATCAATTGTTAACAGTGATCCTTGCAATGTAGGAAATTCTGATACATCAAACACTCGACAATAATATTTATATGTCCATTCCTGTTCAAACAGTGCTCATGTGAAGATATGATTGAGACGAGAGGTGCGACTTACACTAGCATTGAAAATATCTTGGTCGGGATCAACCGAATGACTTCCTGGATTCAAACAAAGATCTTGATGGATGCCTTGAGTGATCATGGATGTTCCATATTGAATCAGATTCGATATGATGTTTGATGAAATGATTTCAACAACAACAGATGATGTCGATGTTGACAGATGAAGAATGGTGACTGTAAGATCCATCTGGTAGATTCCATATGGCAGCGTTTTCGCTGGAATGAACAATTCACTTGACTGAGTGTCGATAGTTGAAGTGATTGAATAGTTGCTGATACTCCATTGAGTTGTGACGGTGAAGGAGCGATTGCAATGGATGTCGATGAACGAGGTGATAGAGATGTCTTGACTACGACGATATTGTAAGGGTGATCTGCTGGGAGTGAGCGTGACATTGGGTGGATAACAACCTCCAGCTAATTATCGAGATAGTCGATCTGTTGTTGGATAAAAGTGCCTACTTTGATTTGATGTCGGTTGCTGGAGACTTGTTGTCGCTGTGAGTATGCTCATTGGTAATGAAGTGTTTCGTGTCATTCCTGTACTCGATACTGTTGTGCTTTGTATATTCGATGTGATTTGGCCTGGAAGGAAGATGACAATGATGAGTTTCGTTACATAGTCAAGAAAAGTATTGACTATCAAACCTTGTGCTGCTGTTGTTGTTGTTGGGATTTCTGTTGTCGTTTCAACTAAAGGAAGAAAGATACGAGAATATTTACCCGTAATATCGATAATTATAAATCCAGAGACATTACTTCATTGGTTAAAATGTATCTTACTTGAGTGTTTAGCTGCTACTCTGTCTGTACAAGATAGAAAAAACGTACTTTTATTTGATGTCAGTTGCTGGAGAGTTATTGTCGTTGTGAACGTACTTAGTGTTGGCGGCGGATTGGTTAGTAATGCGGTGCTTGTTACTTCTGCGTTATGTGATGTTGATATGTCGGACACTTGCGTACTTGACGATTTTATTTCTGAGGTGGTACTTAACACTCCTGTACTTGTTTGAACCATTGTTGAAGTTATTTTCGACGTTACTTCTTCTAAAAAAAGAAGATTACAACATATAACAATCAATCTCGGGCACTCATTTGATCGAACAAACCCTGGGTTGTTGTCATAGGAGCAGCTAGAGTTGTGGTATCTAGAAACAGACAAATGTTATGTGGCCGATCGGATCATAGTGCTTCGATACTCACCAATTGAATTGTTTAACAGAAAAAACTGTAGGATACGAGTGTTTCCTGTATGGGCAACGTAAATATTTCCATAACTGTCAAAAGCCATTCTCTGTGGTTGCAATAGTTGATTTATCGATGATCCACCACCAGAACATCCCATAATACACGAAAACCCATTTGGTTGAGATCTGACTATCCGATTATTGTTGCTGTCCACAATGAATAAATAATTGTCAATATCGAGCACTATTCCAGTTGGTTTATTGAGTGATATTGTAACATTGATCGTAGTATTTCCTGCAATAGTTATTGCATTCGATTGGCCCAATCGAAAGAGCTGAACTCGATCATTGACAGAATCAGCTACGTATAAGTCAAACTGATGGTTCACAAAGATTCCGCGTGGGCCACAAAGACGATATGAAGAAGATCCATTAGTGCCATTGACATCTCCAGCCACCGTTGTCGCTATCATTGAACTATCACCTAGCCACTTCTTTACAACTTGATTTTGATTCCACAGTGAACAGTATAATGCATCACTAGCATCAATGAACAGACAGCTACATGATGAAGAAACTGACATGATGGAAATACTAGTGTTAGCAGCCATATTGTATCTACTGACCAAACCACTCGAAGTACTATCACCGATATAAATATCGCCATTGGTAGCAACGAAGATGGAACTGATATTCAAAGGACTACCTGATATTGTGTATTTTCGGTTCAGTGTATTATTAGACCAAAGCTGAATTTCACCATTTTGCTGATTAACGATATAAATGGAGTCGTTTGTATCTATGAAAATGTTTGAAGGAATTCCACCAGTCATGGTTGCGTTAGCATATATGCTCCCATTCACGTCCCAAATGGCATTTGTAGGCAGTGTTGGTTGATTATATGATTTGGCTACAATATAAAAAATAAGCAAAACTTGAGGATTTATTCTCATATTCTAGTGATTAGTTTGGAGGAGCGCTTACCCAAAGTGTTGTTCAATAAAACATATTTCAGAATACGACTGGTGGCCCATTCGTTTGCATACAGATTTCCGCGACTATCAAATGCTAAATTCCACGGATGCGATAACTGATTAGTGACTATACCCCCCATAGTAGTACATCCAAGTAAACATCGGAAACCATTTGGACCTGAGCCAACAACACGATTATTGGAATATTCAGTGATGAACAAATAGCCATCAATGTCTAAAATAACCGCATTTGGTCCCGAAAGTGCAATCGTAAGATTTAATGATGAACTTCCTGCTACGGTTGTTCCATTTGTTTCGCCATGTCGAAAGAGTTGAATTCGATTGTTTTGATAGTCAGCGACATACAAATCAAACTCAATAGTGATAAAGATTCCACAAGGATTATTAAGCTGATTCAATCCAGATCCACTTGATCCATTCCCAGCGATTATTGTTATTGCGGATCCATTGTCACCTAACCACTTCTTCACAACTTTATGCTCACTGTATAATGCACAGTATAGAGTGTCATTCGTATCAACAAACAGTCCATAACATGAGGAACTACCATACATGACAGGGATACTACCATTTGCATTCAATGACCATCGACTAGTTTGGCTCTTTGCAGTATAGTCACTAATATAAATATCACCATTGCTTGTAACAAAGATGCACATTGGTTTGCCCATATTACCATATATCGTTGTAGTAGGAATCGACGACCCATTCATCCAGACTACAGTTCGATTATTTGTTTGATCGACGACATAGATCGAGTCATTGCTATCGATGAAAAGACCACGAGGATTGGCACCAACCATACTTGAATTAGTGAATAGAATTGCATTGGGATTCCAAGTAGCATATGGATCTAATTTTGGTTGATTGTATGATAAACCTATACAAAGCATTATTCATATATTATTTGTATTTATGAACAAATCGCATCTAACTTTACCTGATACCTGTTCAAAACTCCACAAAACGACCCATAAACACCAAGCAACTATCTTCATACTTGACGTCAATTGACAAGTAGATTGATGCGACAGAATGTTTTTCATTCGTCTCCGTGTTTGCAGAAAATCGGATGAAGAAATGATTTGAAACTAGGAATTTGTTTCTCTTTCTTAACGTTTGGTCGTTCATTTTTTTAAATTGATGTGAAGAAATAACTTTTGGGAAAATATATCTCCGTAATTGATAAACCTACTTATTTAAAATTCAGAAGAGGAACAAATGGATTGTATAAAATCAGCAATGCCTTCTTATTTATATAGATAATCGTTAAATTTTTAAAAATTCACTTTCGAATATTACTTTTTCTCGTTCATATTAAAAGATGCTTGTCGTATCTTTGCTCCGTTGTCTCCGCTTCAGCCGATTTATTTAACTTTTGAAATACATGTTTTTTTTTTCAAAAAAAAGATTCTTCGTCAGTTTTCTCCTCTTGCTTTTGATACTTAGGATCGTGAACAATTGAATCATAACTAGGTGGCAAATCATCATCATCATCATTCATAGTCAATGCTGCAGCTGGAACCCCAGCGGCAATACCAGAATTCTGATCTGTTCCTAATATAATTGGCACATTAACCTCAAAATTATCGAACAATCCTTCAACTTTCACAGCAAATCGGACCACATAGTCATTGACTACTATTGCAGCTTGCTGTGATGCACTTTGATATTTGTACGAGGGCGCTAATGTAATATTTCCTGGAATTTCGATTGAAAATGTTTCATTGAACTGCATTGCTCTCGAATTCATGATATTTGGCACTAATGACTGAATGGTATTAGATTCACGCTTGATCGGTCCTATGCGAAAGATTTGAAAAATCGAACAAATGATATTTTTGATCAACAGTCTTTGAGGATTTGCAATTTCTAATTTAATCTGAATCGATTCACCGGGAACAAATCCCGACTTGTTTAACGTTCCTTTTAATGTTAAATCTTTTCGATTATGATTCCCGAATGTCGTAAGTTGTAAACATTGCGGATTGTCTGAGAGATTAACATGCGGATACACGGCGACAATCTTTCGTTCTTTCGTGTTCGGTTTATACCAAGATTTATCGATAACAACTTGTAAATAATATCGAACATGAGGATACAATTGTGGTTGATTCATTGTTGGCGGCAAATGCTCGTCCAGGGAGATTTGAAATGGCCATGAATGTCTGCCTTGACCATACACAAATCTTTGTCCAGGTTTAGGTTGAGCAAAAATTGTTTTTCGGGAAAAGAATGGTATGTGATGATAATCAGTTTGAGTTGTTGAATGAACTTTGTTGCTGCGACCCGCTGCTGCTGCTGATGTATAACTAAGTTCGCCCGTTAGTTTCATGAAGATTTCTTCAACTTCGATACGACCTTCCATAATTGTTAATTCGACTGTTCCGGAAATGATTTCATTAGTGAAATAGAATTCATTACTCCGATCAAGATTTATAGCGATGGAGCTACTAGTTCCATTACCCATTCTTTGCTTCTTAAAGTATTTTGAAAAAGTATTATTTCTAAATACTGTTGTTTATCTTCAACATAACCTGATGACGAAAACGATGATTTTTATATGAAAACAAAATGTTTTCGATATGCTTCGATGCGCATATCTACACTTGAGCACATGTGCTCGCGATTTGACGATTGCGTCCTATCACAACAATAGATATGAATCATATGGTGATACTGCGTCATGTTCACTACGTTAGTATCATCTTTTAATTACAATCTATTGATATATTTCGGGGGAAAAACGCTAAAAATTGTACAGAATATCTATTGTCTATGTATTTTGAACGGTAGCCACAGTCAATCATTTCTCGCTTTGTATGTATAAGTGCAGTATACCGGGTGGCATTCGTCGAAATAATTTGCAAAGTTAGACTTCGACTGTACGGATTCAACAGTGTGATATAACGTGGTAAAGTAAAATTCACATATAATGTTTGTTATTCGAAATTGGAAAACGTAGCATCCAATGGACAAACTCGTCGATACCACATTTGTGGATGAGGTTCAGTTGCAGGTAGGCAGGAAGAAAACAGTTTGCGAGACAAATGCACATGTCACGAATAATCATTCATTTCTGAAACAAAATATTTTCACTAAATAAGGTACTTTCCGTATGAACAAACGAAAATGGAGCCATGTTAGTATATCACGATATCACAACTGTCAAGTGTAGTATGGTCACGAGAAGAAGAACTACTTATTTTGAGTATTTGACAAAGAGTAAATGATCTTTTTCAGAAAAATTATGTGATTCTGGACTGATTCACATAGAATAATCGACTTCTCTTCGCTGTCGTCATCGTCATGGCTTTTTCTTTTCTCTTCCTGCTATAGTGACGTACATGCAAATGTGAAGTCATGTTATTGGCACAGGTTATGTTTTATTACGAAATTACAGCGTGTTACACTTTTATATACATTCTCCCTCTGAAATATTGCCTTTCACGTCTAAAAGCAGTTGTATCATGCCGACTACAATCGAAAGTTTCTCTGCTGAATTATGGTGTGAAATCTTCGAATTTTTCGACGCTGTAGCACTCTATCGTATATTTGGTAACCTCAATTCACGAATCACATCCATACTTTCACAATGTACACCATTGTACCTCAATGTCGTAACAATCAAAGATTACGATTCGGCTTTGGAGACTATTCTTCCCGATGTGGAATATTCCGCTAATATTAAATCAATAAGCTTCACTCAAGAATTTCAATTCGAAGATTTCTTTGCTCGATGTTCATGTTACACACTACAACAGCTGCGTTGTCTTTCGTTATTCTATTTAGGCGACATGGCATGTGATTGCACAATGGAATTCTTAGACGAACTTGCACAGTTGCCTTCATTTGAATCGTTACATCTCCGGGTGGGACACATGTCTTACTCGGATCGACATCTACGACGATTACTCCAGTTGATATTCACTGAACAGCAAGCTTTTCTTTCTCTTAAAACGTTTGTTTTAAAATGTAGTAATCCTGGCGAACGTATCGCCATACCGACGACAACGATGCTGAAACAAACAAACTTGAAGTCCTTAATCCTTCCATCGCTTTACATGGAAAATTGTCTGGAGATTTTACCATCAATACCACACATTAAATCAATGAAGATCGATCGAATATGTCACAAGTCTCATGTAGTACCATTCCCCGTGTCTCCGTCCATAATTTCACATAGCTGTACGCACTTAGACTTGAACGTGGAACATTATACAAACTGGACCGATATAGAATATTTATTAGAACGATTCCCCAACTTACTGCAACTAAGAATCACATGTGATTTTCTACTATCGAATGCTCAACAATGGGAAGCTTTGCTGCGAAAACAATGTTCTCGTATACGAAAATTTCACATAAATTTTATTCACACGTATATCGTTAATAATACAGCTACATATGAAGATCTACAAAAGTCTTTTTCGACATATTTCTGGTTAGATCGAAACGTTGAAATTGTTCAAGACTTCGAAAATTGTCGTCTCATCGTTCGATTTTAATAATAAAATTCTCGATCACATTGAATTTAATTGATATTCGTATGAATTTCAGTAGCCTGTTCACGCCATCAGGCTATTAGTTTGTCCTGACGATCGATAATTACGTTCGTGTACACAAGAACTTAAACTTTAATGTTACAAAATAATGAATTCGTAAGGCTTACCTGACGCTCGTATAGATGCGTTGATTCGCATAAATATGTTGATCATTTTGAAGCGCGAACTAAAAAAAATGATACGTGTGAAGCTCGCCCAAAATTCTTGGCGAAACATAACCATTTGTAACAAATTACCGACCAAAGATTCGGGTGGAATACCAAGTACTTGACTGCACAAATGAAAGTGCCGTGAAAAGAAAACACATTTTTATCTCTTCAAAATCGTGACATCTGCAATCTGTGGGGATATGTAAGAAGCACAAACCAACAAAGAAGGCATATTCGGCCGATCTCGTTTATACTTCATCCGGAACATAGCCGAGAAGGAAAGACTGATTTTTCAGTTTCATATATAATTGTGCTCCTTTTTGAACCAAAACTATGATGAAAGAAAACAAATGTTACTCAAGCGAGACAAAGAATAATTCAAACAGAACCGAATCAAACCGAAAAACTCCATCACTGATCCTTATTAAAAGAAATTTTCGTCTTGGATATTCGACATGTGACTGCAACATTTCTTCATCCACGTTATAGATCATTGAAGAGATTTCCCGACCACATAAAAAGGTCAATGTTACCAGTATGTTAGCCGACAGGTTAAACATTTCCAAGACAGAATAAATTTGGAAGATTTTCACAGCAAATCATCAGAACCTGAAACAAAGAGATTCCAAAAAAATTCAAATCTATTCGGTAGATTCGAGTCTGATGATGATGTTGAAGATGATCAAAAAGAGTATCACAGTAGTTCAGGAAGCGATGAATACGATTTTGATATTAAAAAGAGTGACGAATTGGATAGATACTTACTGATCGACAAGACTGCACATACTGGTGATCCTTTAGTCTTTTGGAAAAGTTACAGAAATCAATTCCCGTTTCTTTCTCAATATGGTCGCTCTATTTTGTCGATTCCTGCTGCAACTATTAATGTAGAGAGAGAATTTTCCACAGCTGGATGGCTTATTAACCAAAGTAGAACAAGTTTAAAACCAACTGAGATTGACAAAATTCTTTTCATCAGATCGATGGAAAAACAATTGAACACATCTTCTTTCAATATTTCATTAATTCAATCTTCATTTTTTGTATACAACAATGTATTTTTGTTCATTACTTCAGCAAATAAATCTAGAACTCTAACTAAAGAATAAAATTCAACCGCATTGCATGACTTCTATATTTGAAGGATGGAGACAGTCCTCTTTTTCTCGAATTCTCCCCTATAAGTATCGAAGTGCTCGTTTGCCCTGCCCTGTCCTGCAGGGCAGGCAAAAAATTATGTACTTAATTCGGTACATTCTGATGTACTTTGATATTATATTTTCTTGCATTCTATTCTGTGTGGACGAGTATATAAACGCGTGTCTTGTATCAGAACGATGCGATTGATGAGGAAGAAATAAAAACAAGCGTAGTTCCATCAGAAATCGTCAGTGTTCATATTTTCTTTTTTTCTTCTTTTTCTTTCGCGATACGTGATTTTCTTTCCTCCATTTCAATGAATGCTAGCCATAAGTTTATGTATGATTCATGTCTTTCGCACATTCACCTTAAATATTGTAACTGTATACCGTCGAGAACGAAAAACAAAACTATGTAATGTTAGGCTTTGTTCTTTCTTCACATTATTAATCTATACATATGCGAAAAAAAAAATTTCTCAGGTTTCATCCATTCGTCTTGATGATCGTCTTTGATTATGCTTTTCATGTTTACATAGAATATATCGTTTGACCTTACATCGAAAACAAAATCGTAGACTGTTTAATTACGGATCGATATTTTTAATATGTTCGTATAGATTGACGACGGGTTGGAGAAAAGAAATGTTTTGAAAATACATTATCGTCGGTGTAGTCGACAGGAAAAATCAGTCTCAGTTTATCTTTTAGATCAACATTTCCTTTGCAATGGTTGAGGTTATACCAATGGAAGATAGACATATAACTCAGCATCAATCTACCATCAATCTACCGGATAATACCAATATAGAACTAGCGGGACAAGATCATTCTATCGAAAGTGTCAAATATGTATTATTTAAGCGATTGTGTATTTGTTTATCTGTTTTTCTATTCGTTGGAATATCAACAACTGCTGGTATACTCATCGTTTGCTTTACTATAACAATATATCAAAGTAAATTTTCAAAAAAATTCTCTTCGATCTCCCTATTACAATTGCTTGTAGCGCCAAGTTGTCTTCCAACATATCAACCATTACTCAAACAGCCAGTTCAAACAAATTCCTTGACACGTTCAACAGCAACAGGTCATCTCAATGGCGATGATCATTTAGATCTCGTCGTTGCTAATTATGGCTCGCATTCCATTGGAATCTTCTTTGGATATTCAAACGGAACATTTAATAAACAAATTCCATACTCAACCGGAGTATTGTCATTTCCATCTTTCGTTGATGTTTTTGATATGAATAACGATACTTTCCCGGATGTGATTGTTGCGAATTATGGAACCCATTCGATTGGAATCTTTTTCGGTCAGGGAAACGGATCATTCAATGATCAAATCACGTTCTCAACGGGTGTTTCTCGTCCATTGTCATTCGCGATCGGAGATTTGAATAGTGATCAACTTGTTGATATCGCAATTGTTAATTACGGAACGCAAAGTATTGGAATCTCATTCGGATTACAAAACAAACAGTGGTCATTGCCAGTGGACTATTCAACTGGTTACGATTCTTATCCAACATCACTTGCAATTGGTGATTTGAATAATGATCAAATTCAAGATATTGTTGTGACGAATTATGGCATCANTTAAATATTAACACATGAAAGCCACACAATCACAAATATATATTACAAAAGCTTGAATGATATCATCTCGTCAGTATATTGTCTATTGTTCGTTCAATAAAGTATCTTATAAATGATTCGAGAAACATTGTGTTTCATAGTGGTTTGTTGATGCACCAACTTTCAATCCATTCCCCTTCCATTCACCACTCTCTTCGTCCATATAATAACAACCAGACGAATACACTCGCATCTCATAGTCTGATCGAAAGCTGTACACATCATCTGTTATCGGCAATTCATTTCTCAAGGACGCATTCGAACAATACACGTCATCCTCCACTTCTCGTAAACCAATCACCATCGATGCATGACCAACTGTCTGCTCATTATCAATGAAATACCCATACACACTCTCATTCGTCATCGAACAATCACCAGCACACAGCAGTGCCCATCCATCGATGTTCTTCACTGAGCTGTTCACTTGTGGAATACCATCCAACTTATAGATCAACAAATATGAGATATTCACGTCCAACGGATGAATTTCCGTATGAATCGAGATTGGTAGTGAACTTGTGATGTTTACATAATGATAAAAGAACACTTGGTGATGATGTTGAGTTGAGTTAGTTGTGGATGATGTCACATTGTAGAGTGTCATCGATGGTAACACGAATTGAGGATCTCGTGGAATGATGATCTCAATCAGATGATCTTCATCCGTTTCTGTTTTCACTTCTTCACCATTCTTATCAACAATTGTCAACGAAACTGATCTCGACAGATTCGTTAGAGATTCGGTTGATCTGTCAAAGGATGCCAGTGGTTGAATTAGTGTCTTAAAACAAGAAGATACATATCTTAAGAGTTAGAAAAAGACAAATCATCTCACTCGAAGTGAAATCGTTTGATTTTCATTGAGATTTGTTTGTAATATTGATGGGAAACGAATGTGACTATTTTCACTCTGATTGATCTCTTTGTGAAATAACGATGCAAGCGATGTTTTCTCTTGTGACATGAACACTTCCGATGTGTTCACAACAAACGTTTGTTTCACATTCAGCTGCACATCCAATGATGAACTTATCATCAACATCATCGCATTCGTTTTCATTCGAATTTCATTTGCCAATTGTTGTTGATAATACAGATCTCGATTCTTTTCAATTGTCGACCACGAAAAGTCATTCCCATTAGCAAATAAATCTTTATACAAAACAATCAAATAGGAGATAAGAGAAGCATGATCTCATACTCAGATTTGACCATTCAGATTCCATATTGGTGTCATAATCAACTGGAAATTGTGTTGCACGAGTAAAATCAACATCCAACACATTCATTCTCGCTTGCAATGCACCATTTACACCCTGCGCACAATCATATGCATCATTTCATCATTCACAAAAAACAACAACTTTTCTTACTGTGACAAGATTTGTTGCACATTGAACTAAATAACTAGTGATTGTTTGTGTTTGTTCAGATGAGATGCGTGTTGACATTGAACACAAAGATTCACTCAACTCATAGCATCGATCCATCGCCATTCTCTACTCAACAGATCCAATTCGACAACCTGTTCACTTCCCTTCTCTTCTACTCACCAGAGTGTTTCGTGTCAACTGATTTGTTGATTTTGTCAATTGTGACAATGTTGATGATTGTAGTTCGATGCTGTTCGGTGTTGTGATGGCAAGATTGGCAACAAATCCAATGAGATATTCTCGAACATTTGCATAATAATTCACTTGTTTTTCGTATTCATTCCATGATAATGATGATGTATTCAATGATTTTGACGCCTAATAAGAAGAGAAACAATGGAATTATCGATTAGGAAGAGAGAGAGAGAGAGATGAATGTACTGTTTGTAGTGATGTAACTGAAATATCTGTTGATGAGATTCCATCTATACATTAGAACAGACAACTTTCGCATCATTTCCTTCGACTTCAAATGCAAATCTCACTTGCAACTGCTTTTGCAATGGTTTCTTCATTGATTTTATTCAGTTCATTTGAAAACAAACTCAGCACTTGACCAACAACATTTTGATTTTCACTTCGAAGTAACTGAACAAATGGATTGTTGACAAGTTGACTTGATGAGTTCTGAATTTCGTTCATGAACGTGTTCATTTCAGTTACATCTGCTTGCACAATAATTGTTGATGACAAATGAAACTCAGTGAAACAATCAAACTCATCACGAATATGAATAATCACATGAAGTTCATTAGTTGGTTCATCACCTGATGTAAATCGAACTGCAAATGTCGAAATCAATGAATATGCAACGAGAACTTCTTGCGACTGATTGCTTGTCGAAACTTTTGTGAAAAGAAAACAAAATCTTTGTTCTTCATGTCATCAACAATGCACAACTTACCATAAAGTAAATAGTCTTTGATTCCATCATTGTCTACCCAATTCATACAGTTCACATCAAACAATGTACTGGTTGTGCCATTCACTGGATCGATTAAACATGTGCCATTGACAGGTGGTTGATTGAGAACGACATTCAGTGCACTGGAACTTCTTCTCACAGATTCAAACTCATAATCAACTTGAAATCTCCAATATGAATACTGCGAATAAGACAAAAATACTTTGTTGATGATTGTCAAATTTCGAGTGTTCCGACCGAAGAACCAGATATTCTCATACAGATCGGTTTGATTGAACAAACTCCACTGTGTGACATTGGACGATGCATTTCTTTCTCCACGATAGATCTTCCATTGCACGCTTTGTACTATTGAACAGTTCCCAACACACATGGAAAACAAAGCAAGCTGTGCAGTTGTTGGATTCACCAGCTGATATTCAACATTCGAAATACACATTTGTGAGATCACACAACTAAATAATATCATCACTCATTACAGAAGAAGAAGGATAAATCTTTACCCAATGACAATCATTGGTGAATCAACATCTTCGACGTTGACAAGAAGATAACCTGTGACTTGTTTGGATGGATTCGGAATGTTTTGCATCGCAACCATGAACTGATATGTCTGATTGGATCGAAGAGAGCCACTGAGAATGGTGAATGATGAATTGATGGCATTGTCAAATCTCCATCCTGTTCGATTCGATAAACATGATAGATTTGCTGAATCATTTCTCATATCATCAACTGTTAACAATGAGCCTTGCAATGTGGGAAATTCTGACACACCAAACACTCGACAATAATATTTATATGTCCATTCCTGTTCAAACAATATTCATGCGAAGATATGATTGAGGAGAGAGGTGCGACTTACACTAGCATTGAAAGTATCTTGGTCAGGATCAACCGAATAACTTCCTGGATCCAAACAAAGATCTTGATGGATGCCTTGAGTGATCATGGATGTTCCATATTGAATCAGATTCGATATGATGTTTGATGAAATGATTTCAACAACAACAGATGATGTTGATGTTGACAGATGAAGAATGGTGACTGTGAGATCCATCTGGTAGATTCCATATGGCAGCGTTTTCGCTGGAATGAACAGTTCACTTGATTGAGTGTCGATAGTTGAAGTGACTGAATAGTTGTTGATGATCCATTGCGTCGTGAGGGTGAAGGAGCGATTGCAATGGACGTCGATGAACGAGGTGACAGAGATGTCTTGACTACGACGATATTGTAAGCGTGCTGTGCTGGGAGTGAGCGTGACATTGGGTGGATAACAACCTCCAGCTAATTATCGAGATAGTCGATCTATTGTTGGATAAAAGTGCCTACTTTGATGTGATGTCGGTTCCTGGAGACTTGTTGTCGCTGTGAGTATACTCATTGGTAATGAAGTGTTTCGTGTCATTCCTGTACTCGATACTGTGGTGCTTTGTATAGTCGATGTGATTTGACCTTGAAGGAAGATGACAATGATGAGTTTCGTTACATAGTCAAGAAAAGTATTGACTATCAAACCTTGTGCTGTTGTTGTTGTTGTTGTTGTTGTTGTTGGGATTTCTGTTGTCACTTCAACTAAAGGAAGAAAGATACGAGAATATTTACCCGTAATATCGATAATTGCATATCCAGAGACATTACTTCATGGGTAAAAATGTATCTTACTCGGGTATTTAGCTGCTACTCTGTCTGTACAAGATAGAAAAAACGTACTTTGATTTGATGTTGGTTGCTGGAGACTTGTTGTCGCTGTGAACGTACTTAGTGTTGGTGGGGAATTGGTTAGTAATGCTGTGCTTGCTACTTCTGCGTTATGTGTCGTTGATATGTCGGACACTTGCATACTTGACGATTTTATTTCTAAGGTGGTACTTAACACTCCTGTACTTGTTTGCAGCATTACTGAAGTTATTTTTGACGTTACTTCTTCTAAAAAAAGAAGATTACAACATATAACAATCAATCTCGGCCACTCATTTGATCGAACAAACCCTGGGTTGTTGTCATAGGAATAGCTAGAGTTGTGGTATCTACAAACAGACAAATTTCATGTGACCGATCGCATAATAGGGCTTTGATACTCACCAATTGAATTGTTTAAAAGAACAAACTGTAGAATACGAGCGTTTCCAGTATCGGCAACGTACATATTTCCATAACTGTCAAAAGCCATTCTCTCTGGTTGCAATAGTTGATTTATCGATGGTCCACCAACAGAACATCCCATAATACACGAAAACCCATTTGGTTGAGATCTGACTATGCGATTATTGTTGCTGTCCACAATGAATAAATAGTTGTCAATATCGAGCACTACTCCAGTTGGTTTATTGAGCGATATTGTAACATTGATCGAAGTATTTCCTGCAATAGTTATTGCATTCGATTGGCCCAATCGAAAGAGCTGAACTCGATCATTAACAGAATCAGCTACGTATAAGTCAAACTGATGGTTCACAAAGATCCCGCGTGGATCACAAAGACGATATGAAGAAGATCCACTAGTACCATTGACATCTCCAGCCACAATTGTCGCTATCGTTGAACTATCACCTAGCCATTTCTTTACAACTTGATTGTGATTCGACAGTGAACAGTATAATGCATCACTAGCATCAATGAACAGACAGCTACATGATGAAGAAACTGACATGATGGAAATACTGGTGTTAGCAGCCATATTGTATCTACTGACCAAACCACTCGAAGTACCACTACCGATATAAATATCGCCATTGGTAGCAACGAAGATGGAACTGATATTCAAAGGACTACCTGATATTGTGTATTTTCGGTTCAGTGTATTATTAGACCAAAGCTGAATTTCACCATTTTGCTGATTAACGATATAAATGGAGTCGTTTGTATCTATGAAAATGTTTGAAGGAATTCCACCAGTCATGGTTGCGTTAGCATATATGCTCCCATTCACGTCCCAAATGGCATTTGGAGGCAGTTTGGGTTGATTATATGGCTTGGCTACAATATCAAAAATAAGCAATACTTAAGGATTTATTCTCATATTCTAGTGATTAGTTTGGAGGAGCACTTACCCAAAGTGTTGTTCAATAAAACATATTTCAGAATACGATTGGTGCTCCATTCACTAGCATACAGATCCCCATGACGATCAAATGCCAGATTCCATGGACCTTTTAACTGGTTAGTTGCTGAACCCGCCATACCAGTACATCCAACTAAGCATCGAAAGCCGTATGGTCCAGATCCAACAATACGATTGTTTCCACCATCTGCTACGAACAAATAGCCATCAAGGTCTAAAATAACCGCATTTGGTCCCCAAAGTGCAATCGTAAAATGTAATGATGAATTTCCTGCTACGGTTGTTCCATTTGTTTCTCCGTGTCGAAAGAGTTGAATTCGATTGTTTCGGTAGTCAGCGACATACAAATCGAAATCAGCAGTAACAAACACTCCTTCAGGGTTATTTAGCTGGTATGAGGTGGATCCTGCAGATCCACTTCCAGCGACTATGGTTATTGCGGATCCATTGTCACCTAACCACTTCTTCACAACTTTATGTTCATTGTATAATGCACAGTATAGAGTGTCATTCGTATCAACAAACAGTCCATAACATGAGGAACTACCATACATGACAGGGATACTACCATTTGCATTCAATGACCATCGACTAGTTTGGTTCTTTGCAGTATAGTCACTAATATAAATATCACCATTGCTTGTAACAAAGATGCACATTGGTTTGCTCATATTACCGTATATCGTTGTAGTAGGAATCGACGAATCATTCATCCAGACTACAATTCGATTATTTGTTTGATCGACGACATAGATCGAGTCATTGCTATCGATGAAAAGACCACGAGGATTGGCACCAACCATACTTGAATTAGTGAATAGAATTGCATTGGGATTCCAAGTAGCATATGGATCTAAGTTTGGTTGATTGTATGATAAACCTATACAAAGCATTATTCATATATTATTTGTATTTATGAACAAANTTTGATCGACGACATAGATCGAGTCATTGCTATCGATGAAAAGACCACGAGGATTGGCACCAACCATACTTGAATTAGTGAATAGAATTGCATTGGGATTCCAAGTAGCATATGGATCTAAGTTTGGTTGATTGTATGATAAACCTATACAAAGCATTATTCATATATTATTTGTATTTATGAACAAATCACATCTAACTTTACCTGATATCTGTTCAAAACTCCACAAAACGAACCATAAACACCAAACAACTATCTTCATAGCTGATGTCGATTGACAAGTTGATCGATGCGACAGAATGTTTTTCATCCGTCTCCGTGTTTGCAGAAAATCGGATGAAGAAATGATTTGAAACTAGGAATTTGTTTCTCTTTCTTAACGTTTGGTCGTTCATTTTAAATTAATGGGAAGAAATAATTTTTGGGAAAATATATCTCCGTAATTGATAAACCTACTTATTTAAAATTCAGAAGAGGAACAAATGGATTGTATAAAATCAGCAATTTCTTCTTAGATAATCGTTAAATTTTAAAAATTCATTTTCGAATATTACTTTTTCTCGTTCATATTAAAAGATGCTTGCCGTATCTTTGCTCCGTTGTCTCCGCTTCAGCCGATTTATTTAACTTTTGAAATATATGTTTTTTTTTGTCAAAAAAAAGATTCTTCGTCAGTTTTCTCCTCTTGCTTTTGATATTTAGGATCGTGAACAATTGAATCATAACTAGGTGGCAAATCATCATCATCATCATTCATAGTCAATGCTGCAGCTGGAATTCCAGCGGCAATGCCAGAATTTTGATCTGTTCCTAATATAATCGGTACATTAACTTCAAAATTATCGAACAATCCTTCAACTTTCACAGCAAATCGGACTACATAGTCATTGACTACTATTGCAGCTTGCTGTGATGCACTTTGATATTTGTACGAGGGCGCTAATGTAATATTTCCTGGAATTTCGATTGAAAATGTTTCATTGAACTGCATTGCTCTCGAATTCATGATATTTGGTACTAATGACTGTAGGATATTAGATTCACGCTTGATCGGTCCTATGCAAAAGATTTGAAAAATCGAACAAATGATATTTTTGATTAACAATCTTTGCGGATTTGCAATTTCTAATTTAATCTGAACCGATTCACCGGGAACGAATCCCGATTTGTTCAACGTTCCTTTTAATGTTAAATCTTTTCGATTATGATTCCCAAATGTCGTAAGTTGTAAACATTGCGGATTGTCTGAGAGATTAACATGTGGATATACGGCGACAATCTTTCGTTCTTTCGTGCTCGGTTTATACCATGATTTATCGATAACAACTTGTAAATAATATCGAACATTAGGATACAATTGTGGTTGATTCATTGTTGGCGGCAAATGCTCGTCAAGAGAGATTTGAAATGGCCATGAATGTCTGCCTTGACCATAAACAAATCTTTGTCCAGGTTTTGGCTGAGCAAAAATTGTTTTTCGGGAAAAGAAAGGTATGTGATGATAATCAGTTTGAGTTGTTGAATGAACTTTGTTGTCGCGACCCGCTGATGCTGATGTATAACTTAGTTCGCCCGTTAGTTTCATGAAGATTTCTTCAACTTCGATACGACCTTCCACAATTGTTAATTCGACTGTTCCGGAGATGATTTCATTAGTGAAATAGAATTCATTACTCCGATCAAGATTTATAGCGATGGAGCTACTAGTGCCATTACCCATTCTTTGCTTCTTAAAGTATTTTGAAAAAAGTATTATGTCTAAATACTGTTGTTTATCCTCAACATAACCTGACGACGAAAACGATGATTTTTACATGAAAACAAAATGTTTTCGATATGCTTCGATGCGCATATCTATACTTGAGCACATGTGCTCGCGATTTGACGATTGCATCCTATCACGACAATAAATATGAATCATATGGTGATACTGCGTCATGGTCACTACGTTGACATCATCTTTTAATTTCAATCTTTTGATATATTTCGGAAACAAAAAAGCTAAAAATTGTACAGAATATCTATCGTTTATGCATTTTAAACGGTAGTTAAGTCAATCATTTCTCGCTTTGTATGTATAAGTACACTATATCGGGTGGCATTCGTCGAAATAATTTGCAAATTCAGACTTCGATTGTACGGATTCAACAGCGTGATATAACGAGGTAAAATAAAATTCAGATACGATGTTTGTTGTTCGAAACTGGCAAACGTAGCATCCCATGGACAAACTCGATGCCACATTTGTGGATGAGGCTCAGTTGCAGGTGGGCAGGAAGGAAACAGTTTGCGAGACAAATGCACATGTCATGAATAATCATTCATTTCTGAAACAAAATATTGACACCAAATAAGGTACTTTCCGTATGAACAAACGAAAATGGAACTAAGGTAGTATATCACGATATTACAACTGTCAAATGCAGTATGGTCACACGAAGAAGAACTGCTTATAATGTATCTATGAAATTTCGAGTATCTGACAAAGAGTAAATGACCTTTTCAGAAAAACTATGCAATTCAGGAGTGATTCATATAGAATAATCGACTTCTCTTCGCTGTCGTTATGGCTTTTTCTTTTCTCTTCCTGCGATAGTGACGTATGCAAATGTGAAGTCATGTTATTGGCACAGGTTATCTTTTATTACGAAATTACAGCGTGTTACATTTTTATATACATTCTCACTCTGAAATATTGCCTCTAACGTCTAAAAACGGTTGTATTATGCCAACTACAATCGAAAGTTTCTCCGCTGAATTATGGTGCGAAGTTTTCGAATTCTTCGATGCTGTAGTACTCTATCTCACATTTGGTAACCTCAATTCACGAATCACATCCATACTTTCACAATGTACACCATTGTACCTCAATGTCGTAACAATCAAAGATTACGATATGGCTTTGGAGACTATTCTTCCCGATGTGGAATATTCCGCTAATATTAAATCAATAAGCTTCGCTCAAGAATTTCAATTTGAAGATTTCTTTGCTCGATGTTCATGTTACACGTTACAACAACTGCGTTGCCTTTCGTTATTCTATTTAGGCGACATGGGATGCGATTGCACAATGGAATTCTTAGACGAACTTGCACAGCTGCCTTCATTTGAATCTTTACGTCTCCGGGTGGGACATATGTCATACTCGGATCGACATCTACGACGATTACTCCAGTTGATATTTACTGAACAGCAAGCTTTTCTTTCTCTTAAACAGTTTGTTTTAAAATGTAGTAATCCTCGCGAACGTATCTCCATACCGACGACAACGATGGTGAAACAAACAAGCTTGAAGTCACTAATCCTTCCATCGCTTTACGTAGAAAATTGTCTGGAGATTTTACCATCAATACCACATATTAAATCAATGAAGATCGATCGAATATGTTACGAGTCTCATGTAGTACAATTCTCCGTGTTTCCATGCATAATTTCATGTAGCTGTACACACTTAGACTTGAACGTAGAACATTATACAAACTGGACCGATATAGAATATTTATTAGAACGATTCCCCAACTTACTGCAACTAAGAATCACATGTGATTTTATACTATCGAATGCTCAACAATGGGAAGCCTTGCTGCAGAAACAATGTTCTCGTATACGAAAATTTCACATAAATTTTATTCGCACGTATATCGTTGGTAATGCAGTTACATATCAAGATCTGCAGAAGTCTTTTTCGACATATTTCTGGTTAGATCGAAACGTTGAAATTGTTCAAGATATCGAAAATTGTCGTCTCATCGTTCAATTTTTAAAATAAAATACTCATTGAAATTGAATCGGCACACTCACATCCTCACCCTCACCCTCAACAGCGTGAGTTCATATTTGTATGCGTCACTATTGTAGGAAGAAGAGAAAAGAAAAAGCATGACAACAGCGAAGGAAAGTTGAGTATTCTAAGTGAACCAGACCTAAATTAAAGACATCATTTTTCTAGAAAAGATCAGTTTTGTCTTTGTCAGATTTGAATAGGTCGCCTCGCAGATGAGATGGTCATGCAAAGAAACATCTTCTCTCTGTAGATGATGTGACGAAAAGCGTGAACACTTTCTTCCAATATTCTGGTTTAATATGTATGGCGCGATGAAGTTGGTTTTTTCCGTTTTAGCTATGTATATAAACTGTACCTTTTCATTCGCACGAGCGCAGAACAACATAATGCATTTTTTATATTTACTTGCGTTCGTAATCACCGGCATTGCAAGTGAATGCAGCCGTAGTCAAACACAAACCAACGAAGGAACACGTCAGTGCTGTTACTACGATACAAAAGGTATTCCAACAATCGGCGTCGGCTTCAATTTACAACGTTCCGATGCGGCAACCGTTCTAGCGAAATATCGCTTAAAACTAGCCGACGTGATCAACGATTGTAAGAAATCAACGAAGAAAGCATGTCTGACTGAATCACAAGCAACGGACATTTTCAACAATTATATTTATCCAGAAGCAAGCAATTGTGCGTCCGAATATGTTTCAGGAATGCCAACAAGTGTTCATGCAGCACTGACTGACGTCGCGTTTGCTGGGTGTGGTACACTTAAGCAATTTGTTAAAATGAAAGCAGCGTTAGGCAAAAAACAATGGAAAACAGCGAGTGAAGAATTAAAAGGTTCGAAATGGTGTGCGGATGTCAAGTCAACACGGTGCGGACTCGATGCAGCTTGTATTGCATCCGGAAAATAATCGAGAAATAACGACTCCTTTCTCTATCTTTTATTTTAAAAAATGTGTTCCTTTTTTAATCAAGACATTGCATAAATACAGTCAACATTACCCAAACTCAGAAACCGAAACGAATCAACACATCTGATTTGCATTTGTTTTTCTATACAATCGTGCTGCCGAGTTTCCAAGGCATATTCGTAATGAGTCGACCCCGGTCTCACCCTCAAGATGGTACCGAAAGAAAAAATGAATAAAATTCAAAGATCTTCAAGGGTTAATAATTGAAGCTATCTGTTGTTATTAGTATAGATTTGTATTCTTATCGTCTGCCATTGGTACTACTAGTGGATAACGGCTTGCTTTTATAATATTGATGTTGGTATTTATTCTGAGAAATTCTATGATGATCTCTAGTTTCTATTTCCAACATTGTACTCAAAGGAGAAAAACTAACTATACTTCCACTATCTAATTGTTTTGATCATATATACAATTCGTGTATCCTCTCCATCTTGTCTGCGAAATGCTGTATGTCGTGTCTTCATCTTTTAATTAATTTCCAGATGATAGATCGGAATAAGTAATTAAGTCAGGTTGATTATAGTCGGAAAAGTAAAACAAAATATAAAGAAAATAAATAAATTCAAGTTCAACTCCTCGGTACGAATAATTTTTTTCTATATTTAATTAAGCTTTGTGCTAAGTCACCCATGTTGATGGAACGTAAAAATTACCTATCACATTTGGAGAAAAGAATAGAATCTACCTCTTCGATCAATTTAGAAAATAGTTTGACATACTTAGGTCATACCAGAAGTAGTGGCGCCGACTCTGTCAGTTCTTATAGAAGAGTTTCGGAATTTTTCTTCATATATATTCCAATAGCCCAAGTTGCACTCTATCATTTTATGATATTTCATAAGTCTTCAAATGGTACTATGGGATGACACCTTCCATAATACGCCGATTCAAACGACAACACTTATTGTTGGAAGTTGAAACAACCCAAGTATTTCCAAGGAGCTTGTACGCCGCAATCCATTCCCAAAAAAACACATCCAACAACAAACCACCAAACAACCAATAATACAACCTAAATCTGACTGTCCATGCTTTATCCACCCAATCATGTCAAACCTAATACACATCAATCATTTTTTTCTGAATAAATACTTAGACCTACTTACTATCTATATAAACTAAAACAGCTCTTTCATCCTAGATGATCTCTACATATCCTATACCGCAACATATATCCACACTTTCGCTTAAGACTGTAAAGTTCTGTATAGATTATTATAGCATGTTTATGATTCTTTTATTAGAATTATTCGAACTACTATAGCAGAGTTGAAGCCAACTGAGGAGTTAGTCTTTTCGGGGACTAATGAAATCCTTTGGATCTTGGCATCCGAGACTCACACCCCCTCACCCTCACCCTCAAGATTTCGATGGGTCAAAAATGGTGTTTTTCGTATTTCTAAAAACACTATATGGCGAAGTAAACCTCCAAAGTCCGAAATATAGTGCATTCGATAGAGGACTTTGTTGGCTATCAGAATCGCTATTTACATTTGATCCAACTACTCGTTTTCATAGAAAAAAAAAGCAATGACAAACGGGGTCTATAATTTTTCAATACTCTATATTTCATCAAACTGAACCGTGACCGTATCTGAATCAGATAGAATAGGTTTTCATAGTAGAAATAAAGTTAATATCTACGAAAGAAGTTCGGCTAATCAAGATACAAAGAGCATCATTCAAGATCTGTCCCCATCATGATCACAGATCCATTTTAGGTCATAGTGATAATAAAACACAAGTAGATCCTCTCTTTTCTTTCAGTTTATAACGGCTGGAAAAGAATCTGATATATTTAGTATACACACGAAGTAATTCACTAATTGTAAGTTTTTCTTCTTTCGTTATTTGTGTGATGTATTTTTTTTTCTTTTTTCCCAACCATATCATCGCAGATGTTTTTTGGTGTTGAATTTGCAAGCAGAACTTTTTTCCCTCTTTAAAATTTTTTTTTGTTGAAGAGTGTTTGCTACGCCTGTTGATCATTAAATATTAACCAGCGAGTTCCTCCTCAGAGAATGAAAGAAATGAGAAAATGCACAGAACAACCATCAGACATTACTGTGAAGCGCAGTTAGAGGTGGAACATGTTGTTTATGATTGTTATTCTATCACTCTCAACACTTGTCAATTGTATCAAGATTGGCAAAGCGAACAATTACATGATGATTGGAAATATCAGTGAAACACTGATCAATGTCACCATCAACCAATGCACATGTGAAATGCTGCAGTTGAATGGAATAGTTTGTGCTGTGAACTATTTCTCAACAAATCAAACTTGTCAAATATTGAATTCATATACAAATACGATTGAAGTTAAGTACGAGTTGTCTTCGACATTGTTATTTTCGAATAAAACATGCATATCAATCAGCAACAACCAAACAAATGGGGAGTAAAT